TAGTATACCTAATATCTACAAGACGTCTCAATAAAAAAAATAAAACACATACGATATAATATATTTACCAAATCAAAACAAACTGCAGTGATTAAAGTCAATGCAATAGTTAAATATAGATACATAACATTTTCACCAAATGTTTGTATTAGAATTTCTATACATGGTATATCGAATTTTCAAAACATTTTGACATTTTTTAGTTATTTACTTAGATGTAGACATTTAAAATTTGAAATATTTGAAATTTTTTTACATATAAATATCGATAAAAAAAATGTTAACTGTATAATTTAAATTATGAATAATAAATAATAAAAAATATAATAATAAATAAAAAACCTTATCTCAACTCGTATTAAACACAATGCAATTAAATACAATAATCGGTCTACCGCTAACTTTACAGTAGTAAGGCTACAAGCTTACACAGTGACCAAACTACCATCTTTGGCGCTCTAATAAAAAATGTAAATAATCGTAATCAAATATTACAAGTAAGTAATTCATCACTTTACCAGTCCAACTAGTAAATACTATCTCCAAATCCCTCGAAGAGTGTGAGTCCACCATTTACCCACCACTAATTTTATTAACAACATTATTCAATAATATCTTTCTATGTCGATTATTTTCATTCTATAATAATGACATATTTATCATTTTACTATCTTGTTATCATTTAATGTTTCATGGACACACTATAATGTATTAGAATAATATTTCACATACATACTATAACCTATATTTGATTATTTTTAGGTATACGTAAATTGCGTCTCGGATATTTTTATATTAAAATGTAAATTACCAATTTACAACCAATATTTTCCATCCCATTTTATCAGATTTAGGACTGTCAACATTACTGCTATAATGTTGGTATGGTTAATATTGCTAATTAATTATTTACTTATTATTATCTATTAATATTTATTTATTATTATTTAAAATTGCATATTTTTATCGGTACTAAGCTGTTGAATTTTTCTGTGCCAACTTTGTCCTTTATCAATTATTAACTTATTCAGAATAACTTATAAGTCTATATAAAAGTAGGTAAAAATTTGAATGACAATTGCCTCACAAATTCACGTTGATTATTTTTTAGTTTCTAGTTCTTCATTTTTTTTTTTTTGATATACCCTTTTTTTCCATTGTTATTCTATTTCTTGAGTCCTGACTTCATAACGCTTTATTAGTATCAATTTGTATATTTTTTAAAATAACTTTAAAATTAAAAATATTAGGATGAGAAGAATTAAATTAAGAAACTATTAAGAACCATTTGATTTTCTATGGAAAAATTCGAAAATTGTTAGTCGTGAGTAATAATGTCGATGATAAATATTCTGACCATATTTCTGGTGGAAGTCATCGCCATTTTTTATAGATGAATCTAATATATGTATAGTCTGTGAACTCTAATACTCGAACATCTTGTGGTTGTATAGCCATAACGTCTTCATTAAAACCGTTTTCAACATCTTGTGGATTTAAGATGGAAGTCCAAAAAAGAGTTTTAAAGAATTACTTATTTCTGTATTTTTCTTTTTATGATTAGTACTAAGCTCCGACTGTTGAATCTTTCTGTGCCAACTTTATCCTAGGTGGAATCTCCCCTCTTTTTGAATAAAAGGCCAGACAACATTTGCAGTAGCATGTATTGCCTCTTCAAAATCGACATACATTCAAGCTGGGTTGAATTGCATACTTGCATGTCATATTTTCTACATTCTTCTACTAAATGTTGAAAGCATCGGCATAACAACTAGTTGATTTTGATGGCAGTAAAAAATAAACAAGTGGGATATAATTGTTATTTGACACCCCACGAAAAGTAAAGATTTGATAAAATAATTTAGGGTAACTTTTGAAAGTACCATCTACAAACATCGTGATCAAACTGCATAAAGCTTGTAAATTACGAACTGTCGAGAAATCTAATATATTTATTTCATTATTATAACATATTAATATATATATTTGAATATATTAACAAATGAAAAGTCTTCACCTTTAATTGTCTTAAATTCCATATTTATGAAAGTCTCGTGAATTTGGGTTAATGTAGTTGGTAATTTAGGTAACTTTGAATATCGAGCATTATGTATATTTCTTTTTATTAATAAAACATCTACAGGAAGTTATATTTTCAATATCATCATTTTTTAGTTCAGAATGTAAAATTTTTTATGGACTTATAAACATGCCATCAACTGCTTTTCGTTTTCAATTGCTAGTAATTTTTTGTCTAGTTAAAATATTTTCCGATAATGGCTTATGGTTATGTCCATTAACAATTTCAATTTCAGTATCAATAAGATTATTTAACTTTACAAAGCACTTAGTACTTACACGTTTTGACGGTCCAAGACCAACGTTCAAAATAATGTATTAAAAACTTGTTAAAATGAAACTTATAACCAGCAATCACTTTTAATGATTTATTTTTTTTCATTTTGCATTTATTTCACTATTTATCAAGTTCATTTTCAAAAATCTCCACTTGCACTCTTGTAGAACGGTTATCGGTGAACTAATATGTGTTCGGTGTATGTAATGTTACACAGTAAAATTTAGCAGATAGAGAACCAGATATACTCTTTTGATACGAGTCGTTATTACCCATCAATAAAAACATTATAAATGTTAGTTTCACGGATTTTCCGTCGGACACAATTAACGTGTACATGACAGAAACACGGGCCGCAACTTACGCATGTTGTTATCGGAACCTTTTTTTGGGACGCAACTTACATTTACCGTTGTTTTCACATGTATATATGTAAATGTTGAGATATAATAATTATAATTTATAAGATGATTTTATCAATAAATTTAAAAATAACAATACTCTGGGTCGGATTAGACTGATCCAGGACCAGTGGGTAAATTTTGATGGTGTTAAAGAAAATACAAAATTAGCGTTCACCCTTCTCAAAAAAGTGTTATACAAGCCACAAACACTTGAATTATTTGAAAAAACATAATTTATCATCAACTTTCAAATTAAATATTTGGAACCCTCATTCCTATATTATAATGGGTAGTGTTTGTATCCTAATAAATGATGATTCGTTTTGAAAATGTATAGAAATATTAAACTAAAAGATCCATAAAGAAATATACTGATTAAGTTTTATAGTTGTTAAATATTTGACATAACTTCTTACAAATTTTACTTGTAATAGAAAAAATGTACATCAACAAATAAATTAATTGTAACTCAATGAATATTTCATACTTGTGAGTATCATAATATATTGCATATTTTGTTTAATTTATTAAATATATGTACAATAATAATTATGCATAACAAATTACACTCAAACATAACACTCATAAAGAAAATTGCGACTATATATTTTCGATATTTTTTAATTACTCCAAGTATAACTTATGAGTTATGACTTATGAAGAATCTTATGTAACATTTTCAATCTTTTTTAACAGAGAACGTCAATATTCATCGCAAAAAACAAAAAAATAATATCATGTCTAGAAAATGCTATGTAATTACTTAATACCTACAGATTTTGCTTAAAATTAGAGCTGAAAAATACTGCCATTTTATAGATGTTTCTTTTAGTTTTTCTGATTGCAGGCACTGAAAATTTCTTACTTTTGAATAAAGTACCTACAAGATAGTATTTTATAGAAGAAATCAGGCTTGATGGTTGAATGGTGAAGATTTTAACAAATTTTCTGATCCAAAACGTGATGACCCAAAAATTAAAAAATTAAAAAACATTCATCATCATTAATTATTGTATGGTTATACAACCCATAATCATAATATATTCCTTGGTTCACTCAGAATAATACATTAGTAAAACTACCTAGAGTATGAACATTGAACATACTATAGGTGCAGGCATGCAGTTCATCTTAGTAGATACCAGGTATGTAGGTATCTGATACCTACATACAAAACCATTCAATTATTTCAATTATGTTATGTTTAGGATCCGTGGACCGTGCGGTGCACTCGTAAATGTATAATTGTCCGGTAAGAAGTCACTGACATTCATAAAGTAGTTACATTTTACACAAATTCATTAATAAATTTCTAAAACAGTAAAAGGTTTATTTTTATTTCGATTTTACTTAGATAAGTATATACAATCTATCTTAAAATATATTAATTTTTCAATAATCATTTTCACTCAATACACCTAGAAGTGCATTAATTTTTTTTTCATAGGTCATCAGTATTAGACTGACATAAGAATATAAGATTAACTTTGTATTTTGTTAGATTTTTAAAGTTCATAAGGACTCTAAAATGATCATAAAATGTGTAAAATAAGAATCAAACATTGATATTTTCAAAAATCAGTTTTCAATAGATGCCGACATTTTTTGAAAAAATGTGTACACATATTGAACACTACATTTTTTAATAATACATTTTATATTATGTATATTATTTATATATTACGGGCCATATTAGTGCAATAATAAGGAGCCTTTAAGGAGGAGCTCGTGTTATATTACTCGTATAATATAATTGCATGTATTATTGCAAATGTGTCACATGGTATAATCCTAAATTTTTCCTCGAGTCCTTGCAATTACTTCTATGATATTATATCGTAAGACCAAACTAAATTATCCTCTCCCCAACCCCTCCCCCCACAAAAAAAAACACTTTTTACTCCTGCGATCGTTGTCGCCATCCTGGAGCACGTCACTTGACTATCCGGCATCGCGGTTCTTATATAGTACTATTATAATTTTGATCGTTTCTCATATACTTACGTTATATAATATTAACACCTATCTAGTAACGATCGAGATTTGCGTCGGTCGGCGTGTCGGTTTGCCTTGTCTTCGGTCAAACCGGTACAGTAAAAATACGGTGGCCGTGACCGTGGTAGTGGTATTCGGCGGTTGACGCGGGCGAACCGGTGCGCGGTTTTTTTTCTCGCTTTCCACAGGCTTTCGCACACTGCCACCGCCCCGAATTCGCCTGGTGGGAATCAATTAAATACCCGGCACCGGACTGTACCGGTGAACATTCGACCGGAGCATTTTGTAGCCGCCAACACATCCAGCACTCGCCTAACACGCAACGATAATATAACACGTACGCGGTGGCGCCGAGTCTTCTCCGATTCGTTATTATAATAATATTAAACTGGCCATCCGTCTTTTGGTCTGACCGCCGTTTTTCGAGTTTACTGTGACTTTTGCGAATTTTGTTTTTCGTTCACTCGTTCGCCGCAGAGCCGTACCTACACACCGTCGACGAATCCCAAACCAATCAGGTACCTACCTACTCTAAATACTCAATATGACAATAACAGTAATAACATGAATTATTATAATGCGATAGCAATGCATAATATGAATTGACGATATAAATTTATTATATAAATAGACGAGGATACCACTCGGAGTATACCACATATAAGACATAGATACCAGTAGGTCCATAATAATAATACATTATAACATAGTGGTAATAGTCGTTAAAACGGTTTTATGGGTTTTGCAAAAGCCTTCCCTAGAAGTCTAAAAATGCATTTTGGTTTAAGGAAGGCTTTGGTTTTCGATTAGAAACCGACTTTAGAGATTATTGTTCAGACAGATTGAGATTAAAAACGAAATGAAATTATATTACTTAGGTACTTAGTAAACGCGAAACCAGCATTATTTACATATTATTTTGCAGTACCTATACCTACTATAAACTAAATCAAAAGTAGATACCTAGATAATTTAAAACACAAAGTATTTCACAATAAATGTATTTTATTAAGTGTGCATACATCTAAGTATCATGAAAAAAGAATATTCATACTATTCATACTTCTTACAGATGTGGAAACGGGTTTTCCAATTTTTTCGCAATCCTAGAAAATTTGAAAATTAAATTTGAAATTTTTTTTGCTGCTTGATTTCCTAATTATATTACTTTTCCACTTTTCTACTACCTATTTAGGGGGATTGATAAGGTGTGTTATATATTAAAAAAGAATTCACAGAAAAACTCTCACGCCTCTTTGATATGTCAGATTTTGATAATTTTTTTTTATCTGTAAGATAAGAAATTTTTGCAGGTCAGATCATAGCCTAAATTTTAGTTTTTCTTTGAATAGTGCTAGGAAAATAACAAATATTGAGCATTATTCAAATAAATATTTTAACTTTTATACTTATAATTTTGAAAATCGGATTTTAAACCAACTTGCAAGGCTGCAAAACGTTCTATTCTTCTAAATAATAATTTTTAAAAATTAACAAAATCTACGGGGTTGTAAGCGATTGCCGATTTTCCTGTAAGACATATTTTTTTATATTTTTTTACAAAAAAGTTTTAGAAACTTCTTTTGTTTATTATTTTCCTCATTAGCAAATATTAATGTTAATACTCTCAAAATTCGTAATTCTCAATAAAATTATATCATAAATTATTCTTACTACACTCATTGTTTTTCCACAAACTATTCAACCAATTTAATACTTTAAATTTGTAATGACAATTTATTAAATTTAGCAAATACAATATTGTGTTTATGTTAGATTAATAATATAATAGTTACCTATATTAGCGTTTATGCAGGTCGGTCAACTGAATTGATTCATGGTTTTACGTTTTACAGTTTTCTACTTAAGATCAACAAAGTCATAACTAATTATAATTTTTCATCAGTACCTATATTTATTATATGACCTATTGATAGCATAGAAAAACTATTAAGATAAAATATATAAGGAATATTAATGTTGCTGTTAAACGCAACATTTTAAGCTACGAGTACCCAATATAATATAATATACCATTATCAGTTTTCTATAATATTATTGAATTACGTTTTGATCCCTTAATTTTCCTTCCAATGTTAAGAACTAATATGTTCCTAAACTAATATTACAAGACAGTTTTTAAAATGAATTGTGCTTATAATTGTATGTAAAACCTACTTTACTTAAAACGTATTTCGATTTTAATGATTTATTAATATTGCCCAACTATCTATACAGATCAGTGAACTCTTTTAAACTCATATGTATCTGTAAACTATAATTCTAAAGTTTAATAATTCTGGCATATTCTACACGGAAGCCTATTTTCATTATATTAATCTATTACTTAAGTATACTAAACATATCATTACACAAGCAATCTTGCATTAATATAAGTAGTCAATACAATACTTAAATATGAATAACATTACACTACCTTTTTTTTCTGACACCATAGCTACATTTTCCACTTACTGATAAATAAATTGAGTCTGATATTTAATGGATCAAATATTTTTCCAACTAAATTAGGTACACCAAAATATTTTTACGTTAGCGAAACAAATAAGTTATGACCACTTACAAATGAAAACAGAAAAATAAAAAGTTACACACCTATTATCTAGACGCGAGTCATTCTTTAGATCAAAGCAAAATATTATATCAAATAAATGTCACATACAAAGCAATTTCGTCTAATATAATATATAAAAAAAACAAAATAAATCATTTTGCTTCAATTGTATCTGGATACTTTTTAGTATATTTTACTATCCCAAAAAAAAAATATAGGAAAATACGTTAAGATATAATATATATCTAAATATGTAAGCAATGTGCTACATAGAGAATGCTTAGATATAATTTAGTATTGTAAGTAATAATTTGTGCACCAAACCATAAGATCAAAAAAAAATAGCATTCTATCGAATAAATTTAGATTTTAGTATCTTATAGTTTTATTAAATCAAATATATCACTATGCTTAAATATCTAAATAGTATGCATCATTAATCCATAATATTCATACTTTTGAAGTTAGTATCCCATTAAATTAAAAATTCCATTTAATTCCAGCAATGCTAATTGTGTTATAGACGTAATATTACCTATAGTATAATATATAGTATACAACTAACAGTTTACAAATTACTTTTGAGCGGTGAATGATGATTGATTATACAAATAGGGATAGTAGTTAAATATAATTTTTTATTTACTGTTATTGTACAACATACTACCGGGGAGATAACAACCATAATAATGAAAATATTTACAAGTGTATCGTTGTACCTTGTACCTATATAGTACAGCATAATATATTATATAAATATTGTAGACATTAATAACATAAAAAGTACTGTTTACTGTACAGTAATGACATGGTAGTCAAAAACTTATATTTTAGCTTATTAGCTTAAAATGGTAAATCAGTTTTAAACTTTTTAACTAAAAATATACTTATAATAACACTAATAGTCTATAAAAATTACCTATGTATTACATCGTTAAGATACCGCTCAAAAATATTATATTATTATTATTATTATTTAATTTATTGTGAATGGCAATAAAGAAGGCACCAAATGTAGAGTGTACGTGAGGAATGTTTTTTCGGGCATTGTTATTACACCTCAATAATATGACGATATGTCTAATGAGTTGAAATGTAAGTAAGTAATTTATATATATATACATTTATTTTTAATATAAATGTACAAAATCCTGATGACATATTTTAACCAACCATAACAAACTGGTGTTAACTTATCTCTTCCTTGACTAATTGTCAACCATGTTTAATATAAAGGTACATAATACATATATATTGTATATCCTAGCAGATATCTAGTCATTATCTATTCGATTACGTGGAATTTCGATCGATAAGTATATACATTACACGCTTAATGGAAACACATTTTTTTAGGTAAACATTTATTTGAAATTCTCAAGTGTGCTTACAATTTTACGAAACATATATATGAATAACACCGTTATTAATATAATGAAGTGTTCATGTCTCGGATCATTTTGATTTGAATACAATAATCGTTTGATCGTAGTATTGTTTTTAACTTGTATTCTGACGTTGAGAAGTAGATCTTAGCCTAATGAGACTTCTGTGAAGAAAAAGAAATACGACACGTCTATATACCACCCCTTGCCCCTCCTTTGTTCGCTAATTCGTGAGCATTAATCTTCTCTCTAATAGAGCTCGTGTATTTGGTACCCACGGGATAAAACTTTTATGTCTCCCGAGTTTTGACAGTTTTAATTCGATCAAAATTATAGTACAAACTCCTCAAAAAAATTGCTCAAATCATAGATTTTCATTACGGTATAAAAAACCACGGTATACAACATTACAAACAACAAAACGCTTCAGGTAAAGTAAATTTTTCTTTTTCTTTTACGTCAAGCATTGTAAAATGGACGTCCGTGGCTTTTAAAAAACAATTCAATTTTCTCGTACAAAGAATTTAACGGTCCAACGGTAATCAATCATTGATACTTAATATTAATCTGTTCTTTCACTCAAATACCTACTATATCAGTTCTTTAAATTGCAGTATAAAAGTGCAAATCATTTCGTTCTGACCGAAGACTTCTAAGAATACAAAAACGATTATCGGTAACAACAACTCTCATGTGTTATAATTTATGACATGTATATTGTATATTAGGTAGGTACCAAACCACAGAAAAATAATATTATATCGTTTAAATAACACAAAATAGGTGTGACTTTTGGTACAATCATAAGCTTGGTGCTTGGTTATTTATAAGTAGAATAAAGATCAAATTCACAACTTTTAATGAATAATATAATACTTGCAAAACCCATAGTTGTGTTTGAAAAATATATAGGTGTATAGAAACAATGATCGTGATCGTTAACAAAGTAATCTACGTCATAATAATTAGGTAATAACTAATAAGTGTATGTTTATGCAGTGTTTAGGCTGTAAACGTCACATTCTGCAGTTGGACGTTTTTAAAGTTCAATTATGTTAAATGAGCCGGCTTAAAATAATACGTCATGTACCTTATACCTCCATATCACTCGAATACTCGACTGCAAACTGGCTTAAAAAATACATCTTTGTCACTCATTCTCACCCGTTATTAAAATTAAATTATAACAATAATAAAATGTAAAATATATACCTATAGATAGTGGATACATCGTACCTAGCGTTATATGAAGATCTAAGCTATTCGTATAATCGTGTATCATAATTCATAATAAATCGAATCCATTGGCACACAAATACACGAATTATATACCTATATATGTGTGACCTATACATATAATAAATAATAAATATTGATTTGTGAAACGACTTATGAATATTATATATGTGTACTATGTAACTATACGTCTGTGGTCTGTATTATATCGGGTACGTTTCGGCTCCCACTGAAATACCTCGGCGTCGCCGGTAGACTAAAGATTTTGAATCATTATTCATTATAAAAGTCGCGTGAAAATAACTGTTAGAACCGCTCATCGAATGTTAATAATCGTATTTGTTGTCACAGCTCGTGGCGAATCACCGCCATCATTATTAATGGATGTATACGTATTAGTTAAAAGCGGATACGGTCTATCTGAAACAGACTGTGTTGATATTCCAAAGTGGCGTGATATTTTAGCGATTCGGTTTCCGACTGGAACGCGACCGGAATGACGTTTAAACTTAAAATCATTATTGCCGCCGCACCAACAGTTTCGATTATAGAAGTAATAATTAACGGACACAATGGAAAATATGTACGTTATTAGAAATCCGATCGTCGCTCACATGCATATTAAAATGTCGGAGAGCGTATATACATATTATTTACTTTTTTATTGTCTGTGATGGGTACCTCTATATATTATAATAATATACAGTGAGAGTATTTGGTGCCAGCCACGAATCTCTGTTCGCGACCGTCACATTGTGGTTTTCATTCCGACTGGGCACCCGCATAATATTACATTAGACGCCGTCGATTACAATGGAATTTAGTCGAAAATGTATACGTATGAAGACGTGTGCTCCACTCCCGAGTTTGGATCTCACGATTGTCGTTCGATCCGAAGACAAATAACAATCGTTATGCTAACTAGAACGATCCTAGAAAATCAACAGACACACACACACACACGGTATAATGAAAAGTAAACCAATGTTCATATTAACTGCTCAAATTCGATATAAGTATATAGGTTGTTAATAATATAGGTGTGTTGAAAACGATCAACTACTTCATTAAAGTATAATATGACATTATGCCACAAGAGGTATTCTTCTTCTCGTAGAGTAAAAAGATTAATAACACAACAAACAAAAAAAAATTATTCCGTATACAAGCACGTCTACAAAAATATAATGTTTGTAGTTAACAATGAAGTTGAACAGTAGAGTAATATTATGTATTATAATATTATACATACACAATACACCTAGATACAGTATCACATTATATACATATTAATTTGTGTGTTAAAAATGCAAAATGTTTCATCTGGAAAAAACATAACCGGAAATAAAAAGTTTTTAATATGTTATTCATAATATTTTAGCGTATACTCGCGACAAGCTATTTGTGAAAAAAAATAAAAGAAACCGAGGGAAATTTCTTAGAGAAATATTGAAGGCGAATTTGATACAAGAAAGTATCTTACCATATCTAGACAATATTCATATTCCGGATATCCAGATCAATTTTGGATGTATACTCTATTTAAAATACAAAAATCCTAATTATAACCATCCTAGTCATCTTACCTATAAGCTAAAATATAAATAACAAATTTCTATAATGTTCATTTTTGAATAAAACATTTAATAACTGGTTATATAAATTAATATAACCACTTACTCATAATAAAATGACAGATCCAAATACAAACTGGTTTGTTGAGTAGGTAATGGATAAGTAAATAATAATAGATAGTTTTAATAAATTCTAATTTTGGTCAATAACTTGTCACACTCTGTAGGCTACAAATAACTAGCAAGAAATGCGTTCAGTATAATACAGATTATAAGGACTAGATAAACAACATTACAATGAATTACGTATTTAGTCATACGTTTTAATTCACATTTTCATATTTAATGCTATAATGGGACAGTATGTGTAGTCTATCAAAAAAAATAAAATAATAAACAAGTAAATGTTATCAATACATTATCATTCAATTTTTATTTAAAATAATATCTAAGTACCTACCTAATAATGAAGTATTATTAAATATTCATATCAATTTAAATTACCTGCCTACGAAAGTATTATATCGAAAAAATAATAAGTAAAAGATATTCAAAACATGTTTTTTCAAGTTATTGAAATTATAAATTGTATTTTAAATGGAATAGAATTGACTAAATAATTTACTGTTCGTGTTCTCTATAAACTTAGTATATAATAATATAATAGTATACCTACAAACTACCATATGCTTAAATTCATTAATATTTAACATTTTAATACTTATCGTTATCATACATACCTAATATAATATGTAACAGTATACGTGCAGTAACGGTTATTTTTTATTGATTCTTTAAATATTATATTTATCTGATATCTTATAGCATTAACCTACTGTTGATATGCATATTATTGACCAGTGGCGGCGCGAACTTTTTGAGTCTTTGAAGCAAATTGTACATTTTTAATATTTTTACCATCAACCATCCCCTTTATTACATCAAAAAACATTATCAAATGATAATTTACCATGTTAAAGCTATGAAGCCATGAAGCAATTGCTTCAAATAGTATTACATCCACTGTTATTGACATGCAATGATACACATTATAATCCACGTTCCATGACATTGGTTTAGAGTCTAAAATGTAGACTTCTTATTGCCATAATACATTCAAGGTACTACATAGTTAGGTACGTATAAGCTTGAGAATTTCCAGCCTTTACGTGTTTTTCTTTTTGTTAACTATTTTGCCAAAATTATTGATACCTACAAATAAATACTTCAATAGTTCTGTAAAAAAATTTTAGTTTTTCCATACTTTGTATTTTTATCTATATTTATTGGTACAGTAGATAATAATAATTTGTATTTATTACCTTCATGTATATTTGTGTTGAAACATATCAAATTGAACTATGCGCCCTCTGATGATGTTGAAACTATATGAATTTTGTGCCTACAATAGTCCTATACGATCAAATATTATTATCTTTTTTATCTTGTTTTTTTTTTCTTAGATTTCTAAGTCGTCGAAATAAACAAAATATACACAATGAACAAATTATTATCAATTGTCGTCTTGTTGGCTGTAGCTGTTTGTTCGTGTCATGGCATCTCAGATCGTAGGAGCATTAGAACAGCAGCATCTGAGGTTTCTGCCGACATCGACCCGATCACCGCTGACGCCATCGTACCACGAGATTCAGCACCCGCAGAGACTGTCGATGTGTTTAGTACAGGTAATGTTATAAAATACCAATAAGACTAACGCTGGTGTCTAATCGTTTAAGACTCGAGTTACTTGCATTTACCTAGTGTATTTTGCACAAACTTACTCAACGGCTTTCGAAAAATATTGACCTCACTATTTATCTGTTGTAATAAAATAGTGTTCTGCCCAAATCGTAGGGGCCCCATTAAACCTCTGCCCAGGGCCTCAGAAAGGTTAAAGACGGCCATGGGAGCTAGCAACGCCCGCCGGTACGTACACAGATTTCCGCAGATTGAACGTAAGACCGCTCCTCGCCAAGCCACTGAATAAATGTATTGAACAAATAGGCCACAGATTGACATGTAAAATAAAAACTTTTGTTTTTTATTATTATTACCTATTACCATTGATTTTATAATATACAATATTTTTATATTTTGTATATTATAAAATCAATGTTTATTAGGTACCTAATTATTATTGTCCAAGACCAATTATTATTTAAATTCGATTTTGGCATTTAAACATTTTCTACGTCTGAATAATATTTAAACTGAAATAATTATTTCATACATATTTGGAAGAGACGTGTTCATGTGTTTTTAATGGAAGTAGGAGTAAATTCCTAATCAGTTCTAATCCTAATTAAAGTAGATATAGCGTCACAGATATTACCGAAAATATAGATACAATTGTTATTTTATTCAATACTAACAAAATATTCTTATATATAATAATTTAATATGCCCTTTTTTTAATATTAATTTCCTGTATAAAATGCAAATATTTTTCTTATTTGGTTTGTAAACCGCAAAGTACTGGAATTGATAATTATTATGAAGATTCAAATAAATCAAATAATCTCTAGGACAGTTTAATTTTTTTAGATAGGTTAGTATATTTTACACAAACGTTTTATTTTGGCCAACACACATAATAGTGCACTATTCTGTACCGTTTGTAGTCATGCACCGTTGAGTAGTTGTGTTGAAAAACCAACTCGTGACAATTATCCGAACTTCCGGTGGTATCGCTTATTTTTCTTTGTAACAACGTTAAGCGTACTGAATTTTTGAAATGGTGTACACAAGATAAACACGTATAAATAGCTCGACAATTAAGAATTTGAGTTCACTATGTATAGCTCATATAAAGATAAAAGTTCTTCATTTTTTCTCTATATCAATAGAAAAATAAAACATTACGACCTTATTGTTTGAACTTATTATATTGGTTGTTATTGCTTATTATATGATTACAAAATGTAGGTAGTACTAGGTAAGTACTTACCTATGTACATCACATTTTTAGGTAGGTAGTGATTTTCTTCTTTTTCTTGAATTACAACAGTAGGTAGGTATACCGCGTGAGTAGTATCTATATACAATATACCTATTACCTATACATAAAAATGAATATTTAAACTATTCCCAGACACTCTGTCGGATTTATTAATTGAAAAATCATCTCGCCTCACTCATTATTCTATTATATTCTAGTTTATGGGTTCTATTACCAGTTACCACAACAAGTCAATTCGGCTTGTTCTTAATGCACGCGTAAGCGTATATACGCATTCTGCATACACCTATACTTACCGACGGTTTACTCCTTTACTCCCAACCTTCAGTTCACATAACCGTTTCTTTGGTGCTCCAATTATTTCTATTATCAATATGATTAAAAATTGTAATAAACAAAACGATATATAGAAGGTAGAATACATTTGTTACATTGTTATTTGTACGATCTTCGATGATAGTACGATACACGTGTTATTACCCTGCATGAGACGCATATTATACGTCCTATACTTATCGACAGCGACGGGCTATATCTAGTCCCGACCTACAGTTCAAGTTAACGTTTTCTTCGGTGCTCCCATTACTTTTATCGTGAATAATCAACAGAGTAGATACGTTCAATAATATATATATATATAATATAATGTAGAAGGTACCGCTACTATAATAGTCTATACCTAGTGAGTATAGTGACTAATATAGGAGTATACTAATTTAAGTAGTCTATAAATAAGCAATATATATAGTAGGTAATATAATATAGAAGCTATAGTAGTTATATATATATAGTTAATTGCATAATCTGCAATGACACATGTGACATGTCTAATTGCCCATGCTATAATATACAGATCATACAATTTATTCAAGTACTCACACTGTTTATTTGTACAGAGTATAGGTAATAGGTATAAACATGATACATAATACAATGTACGAGTATAATTATCGTGGAAATGTGGAATACTTACTGGTTACTATTTACTACCTATACAGTAGTGAAGCGAATTATTTTTCATGATGCGGCCGACTATTTTTTTCTTATACGACACTCACCAGTCACCAAAAATGACTATATAATTATATGTCGACCACTAAGACGTGACGGCGAATTAGAGTTGAATTAGAAATGAATGCTCTGCGTAACGCTGTGGTTCTTCACCGGTGTTCCGCGGCACACAGGTGTTCCATGTACTTGGTGTAAGTGTTCCACCAAAAAAAATGTTTAGTTTCATATTGTCTTAACATTTTGACATTTATGGACTTCCAAGTTCCAACACACAAAACTACAAAAGTATAAAACGTATATAACAATATACTGTATAGTTTATACTGTTTATAGAATCATTTTAGGTTAATATATTAAAAAGTTAAAAAATGTATATATTACTATTTTATTTTACGGCTGTGTTCCTCGAAAACCTTATAACATTTTAAGTGTTCCGTCATTCGAAAAAGGTCAAGAACCACTGGTGTAACTTTACATCAGTAGGTACACCATATAATATTAACTATACAGCAATTTTCATGATTTGGGTCCAATACAGTTAACTAATCAAATGATACTCACTTTTGAATGATATAATGTATATTATGTATAGTCCGGTAACTACCTACATCATAAATTCATAAGGTGACTGATGCTCAATTGAACTTTAAATGCTTATAAAAAAATCATTCCTATATGTATTTTTAAAATTTGTCAACTGATATTTAAAAAATATATACCAGGAGCTTTTTATTACATTTTCAATCTTTTTGACCCAACGAATAAAATTGTATTGACATTTATTTTATAAAAAAAAAACTGAAAAAAAATTTAAAATATCCATAAACAGCTCAAAACGAGTCAAAATATTTTGAAAATGATATCAAGTATAAGACTACAGAATTGATAAAATAAACATATGGTGTAAATTTCAAGTGTCTACGATCAATTCTTTTTTGAATCACGACAAAATAAGAAAATCGCTACAAGAGAAATCCAGTAAAATCCAATTCTGCAAAAATTTCAACTTCTAACGCAATAAAAATTTTATTTGAATTTCCGGTAGAATTTTTTTTTTGACAAAGGTAAACAAATTTGTAAGAAATCTTGTACTACATATTTAAATTCTAGATATAAAAAGAAATTTTTTTGTGTATTTCTAACTCAAAATAATTTTTTTATTTTACGAATTTTGTCAAAATCCTGAATTCAAATGCTCATAAAAAAATATTTTTGAGCGTAAGCCCAGGTTTTTTTTATTTAAATTAATAAGAACTTATGATTAACCTTGTACTACATTTTTAATTTTTTTGACCGAGCGTAAAATCATGATTTTTTATCGACATTAGTTTAAAAAAATTAACAAATAATAATCGAAAATTTCATATAAATAGTTCAATACGAGTCAAAAATAACAAGTCAAATTTTATGTTTTATTGAGAATGCGGATAGAGATATTCAGTGAAAATCGCATGAATCTACGATTTTTTTTTCGATTTACTTTAAAAATCGGGTTTCAGTAAAAAATTTTGTTTTATCTTAATTTTTTTTTTTCCTTTAAAACTATTGAAAATTTCTTACTTTTGACCCCCCAAAGTACCATAACTAAATTCACTTTACTACCATGAGAGTTGTTGTTGAAGAAAATCGAAACACTTTTACTGTCCCACTAGGATGATGACGGACACAAAAAACACACATCATTGTAAAATTAATACATTCATCGCTGCTCTTAGAATCTAAAATTTCATAAAGTATATTTTAAATCATTATTAATTTTCTATTATGAAAGAAAAAATGGTTTCTCAAAAAATGAATTGGTCTTGGGGGGGGGGGGGCTAAAGAATCCTTTGGGAGGCTATGCACCCCCAGTAGTGTAGATCTCTGGTTAGGTGTTAGGTTATAGGGTCACTTGCCAACAAAAATAATTTAGTGGTGAGTTTGCAGTGTGTACTTATATGGTGAATCCTATAATAGTAGCTGGTAAAGTTTACATAATTATATTATAAATGTAGGTAATATTGTATGAAGATTAATTCATAAAACTCGTTATAATTAACGGTGCGGGGTTGGTGCTGGCTGGTAAATTTCTGAGTTTGTCCTCTGAAAATGATTCGTATCACTGAGCACCAACCCTCAAATCGTTATTATATATTACCCATCTATACGTGTATATTATATTATTGACTATTGCTATTATAATGATGTTTAATGGCCGCGAACCGTTGGTTTCAGCCAGGGGCAAGAAGGGCGGCAACAAGCACAAGATGGAGGCCATGCACATGGGCTTGAGCTACGTGAAAATGGTGCTTAGCACGCTGATGGCGGCCATCGGACATGTGTTCGCGTTCAAGAGCGTCGGGCTGAGCCTGATCAGCGTGCTCATCCAGATCGCACAGTTCATCATGGTGCTGAAGAAGAACCGGGAGAGCCAGCCGCCGTCGTACAAGATCGTCGAGACCCCATGGCACACGTCGCCCACCGAGTCGTACGGCGTTTACGGTTCGTACGCCGGCCACGCCAAGTCATCAGGCGCGGTCAACTACTCGCCGTACGCCGCGCCGCAGGTCAAGAGACGCCGGTGATGACGACGATGATGATGGAAGGATGTCCGGTCCGCCGAAACCGGCAGGATGACATTGATTACGTACCTATTACTATAGCAAATAATAACAAACAAAATGCCACCCGCTGTCGCGGAGGTATTATACGTCATACCGTGGAACATAACATTTCGGCCATTTTTAATTATTATTATCATCATCATTACTTATTTATTATTATATATTTATTTTATTTATTTATCATGACATGTGTGTACGTGCGTGTATGTTACTCGCTTACATACGAATATATACCTATATTATTATTATTATTATTATTATTATTATTATTACCTATTTATTATGATTCGTTTCGCGTCGTCGTCAGCAGCTATAGCGCCGCCGAAGTTGACCGCGCACGACCGCGCATAATATATTATTGTTATATAATATAATTGTATCTTTGTTATGACTTATTTGATTTGGCGCAATTTATTTTAAAACACGTTTCCAAAAATCGAATTGTCCACGTCGACACGTTATTGTTTTAATAATATTATAATATTATTATTGTAAAACCCTTCCCCCGGCGGCCGTGCAGCTCGTCCAATAACGCGTGCAGTATAGGTACATTAACGTCATTAGGGCAATCAACGGGTACACTATGCATATATGCACAGTAATATTCGTTCGTCTCGTGGTAACGAGCTCGGATCGTTACATTGAAAACCTTCGTATTTTATGCAAATCTTAAAATACATTACAGCGTTGCGTTATATGGTGTAGGTAGGTACCTAATACAATATTAATGTCGTACGCGTTTTCAAATTCTGTGTTCCCGATTATACAATGTTAAATAGAGAATTGAAGAACACTGAACAGTGAACACCGAATAGAAAATCTTAGATATAATAATATTATTCGGTGTGCTCCATTTTAAAATTTAAGTGTCTGTACTCTATACGGCATTATATTTTGAAAAGTCTTAACTTTTTTGAGAATATTATTTTTACATATTAAATTAATTTAAGTAATTGAAAACAACATTTTTTATACCAATACGCCAACATTTTAAATTTCTTATCTTCGCAGAATATTTTGCAGAGTAAACCAGGATAATACATAAAAGCCGAATTTCGATCGAATATTTAATTGTGTTGATTAACGATGTAGCTTACCAAACCGTAGACCACCTAATTATAATTAATCTTAACTTTACGTAGGTACCTATATTTAAATAATATTATAACCATTAACTAAACGCGTTCAAAAATCCATTGTTATGTATTAAAGTAAGTACAGGTACCTACTCCGAAGATAATATTCTACTTCTAAATATGAAATTAAAAATATTATATTATAATATGTTGTCGTTCTGAAAAGTTAAAAAGTTAAAAACCTAAGTTTTTAAATAAAATAAAGTCATGTAAGAATAATATTTTCATTTAAAAATAGTTTTTTTTTAATTTTTTGAAATTTAATTGTGCTGATAAGTACCTATTGTTATTTAAATATAAGTATAGAAGACATTATTAGAAAATTATAGTGGGTATTCCATGCGACTATCTATTTCTATAATCAATACTGTCATTAATGTGCGCAATTTCAATGAAAAATCTGGGGGTGCTAACTGCTGTCTCTGAAGAGATCTGTCATCAACTTTTGGAGCAGTAATGCTTGGATTTAACTTCAATTTATTTTCTGGTACAAATGTAAATCTAGTTGGTGCTTTGGAGAGTTAAAAGTAAAAAGAAATGCTAGTATTTTTCTTAATAATTTGTTAGTTAATATTTTTAACAAATATTTAGAAGAATTTTCTATGGGTATATGATGGAATACTGTTCAAAATATATTGATTGTTATTGAATTATTTGTATAGACTATTGCTCGTAAAAAAAAAAAAAATATATAATACCTACAAGATTCCTCATAATAATTTATTGTTACTAAAATTTTAAAAAAAAGTTGAGGGTAATCTCACAAATATTTTTATAAACCTCTTTAAAATGTTGAACAAAAATTGGACAAAATCACAAAAATATATATAAATTAATTTTAACTTACCGTTAAGACCCCCGTCAATCACTAATATAAATTATATTTTTTGCAGTTGGAAAAAAATCCTCACAATAAAGCCTGCCAAAACATGTAAGGTTTCTGTACAGAAAACACATCAGTTGGTTTTTGGTTGATGGTTAATGGCATAGACTATAGAGTCAAAATGTCATCCTTTATCTACATTATATTACTGTATAACATGCTTATACGGTAAAATAGTAATAATTAAATAGGTGACCTCTTGTAATATAAAGCGTAAAATTCATATTCATATTTTACAAAACTTCTATAGGTAGGTATACTAAATTTATAAACTATACACTCTTATACGTGTAGATACTCTATATAGACTATTATAGTTCTATGTAATTTGTATTTATTTATTATGATCTAAGTTTACTATTTTCAATTTAACATTTAACTGTTAAATGTTTAAGATGTATAAATTTACTTTCATTATTTTTACCACTATAGAATATATTATTATAAGTGTTAACCTATCTAGCTGTAATGAATAATGAATATTTGAATATGAATAGATCTATTGTTGAGTCAAGAAAGGTTTTTAATTTGTAGAAATTAAGAATCAATCGTCATATTATTATCGTAACAGCGTTTAATGAGTAGCCCAGAAGGCACGCCGTACACTTCTACCTACAAATAGTTAGGCGTACATTAAATACAGAATAACAAATTATAACACGTTTTATGACATATCAATTGTATTATTTAAACGTTTTCATCATTGTATTAATGTATAAATACAAACAGCTCTGCCTTTAAGTGTTAAAATATTTTTCGTTTGTTCATGGATGTCAACAACTTGTACCGGCTACAGCGACCTACAGCGTGCCTAGGTGTGTCTTAAATGTGATCTATTTTTAAATCTTTCACTCGAATAAGTCAGTATTTTTTCTAAGTTCAACGTGTGGGACTTCATATTTTAGTACATAATCTATTCTCGAAGAATCGAAGCGTATAATATGCATATTATAGTATATAGTTAATGGGACAATGTAACACTGTTATTATAAAAATACTACGTACCTATAATATTAAAGCAATTTCTAAGGTACTCGCTGTATACTCGGTAAACTAAAATATAATTATTAAATTAAATATAATATGATATAGGTAGGTATCATAAGCCATTTTGTGGGGACGTATCTAGGTTAATAGGCAGGGGAAATAATTGGATGGTGTTGTACAACTTATGGTTAATAAAATACCTTTTTCAAACTGAAACTAATGCGGCATGTGGATGTGGGGTTTTGGCTAGGGAATCAATTCGGTACCAGCCTTTGAGAATTCAATACATGGACACATGATCCCTCAGAAGTTTTTCTTAAGGCAAAAGTATCAAAAATTCACAAGTAAATTGTTTTTTTATAGAAGACGTATTTGGCGATAAAATTATTTTCTAATTAAAAAACTATACAATTTTCAGTTTTTAATTTTTTATAGATAAAATGCAATATAAGGTTTTTCATAAATTGTTTTTACAGCAATTAAAAATCTCAAAAATACATTAAGTACATTATTTGTTTATACATTTCAAATTTAAATTTTGGCAAAATTTAATATTTAAATGAAGAATTACATTCTTTCTGCAAGGATTTTAGTTTTTAAACCAGTTAATTGTGATACTGATGAAAAAATAATAATCAATAATCAAAACGCCATGTCACAGTGTAGTGGTACTTTCAGTTCGAAAGTTAAACACTATAATAATATGTATTATTTTATATTATTACTAGCAATCCATGCTAGTTTTATATTATTATATTGTTTATAATTTATAGACTACACTAGTTATACGCCTTTTACAGCCATATTTACAGCCTATTTTGTAATACTCAATACTGTTGACATTCTAAGAATAACAACTCGATAGACGATGGAGTCGTACAGATTTGTGAAGGCGGGTGTCAATATTTATTTCCTATGCTAACCATAAATATTATTAATATATATTTAAAGATATCAAGAAACACTGGCTATTAAAATAGAAATAATAACTAATAACTAATAAGTAATATGACAATTTATAAGTGATACGTTTATCGCCGTCATTCGATGGTCTATCATACTGTTAACCATAGACCTATTAACTAAGGTAAGTTAATAGGTCTATGCTGTTAACAATATATAAATATACCGGGTTTCTTACGGGCTACGATCCTATGAAGTTATTTTTAAATTCCATTTAAAATGAATTAGTATGTTATGATATACAATGATTCGTCTGTTATAAACGTGAAGTACCGATATTAGTCAATGTGCAATATATGCCGCACGAGGTACATCGATACACAATACTATTTCGTTAGTTATTTTAAATTTTTAGAATAATTAAATTAATATCTATATGCTATATCATGCCACCAAAAAGTGGTTCTCAAAAAAGGAAAGAACGAACCCAAAAAGATGCCGAATTGAAAAAATTACGAGGTTCTTTCGATAGATTTCTACACAACAAAATTGGTAGTAGTATTTAATCATATGGATGTAAAATTGAATGTAAATAGTTAACTAATTTTAGATATTATAATTTTCAACTCTCAAAATATGAACTAGAAACCTACTAAATAAATAAATCATTTAAAAATAATAGAATGTATGCCTAAAAACCTTTAAAATTGCTAATTTACCTACAAAAAACATATTTTTATTATAATGAACCATAACATATAACTTTTATAAGTACCTGCTTAAAACTATTTTTGTGGCATAAACGGCTACATTGAGAAGAAATATAGAAATAAAATATTTATTAAAAATATAAGATCAATTATTTTTTTTATATAAAGAACAATATTGATTATTGACACAAATTTATATATATGACTCTTGTAATTCAGAACAAGTTAGAAAATATATACTTGTAACATTTGACTAATTTAAAACTAGTATTAAAATGTAAATAAATTTATATAATATGTATTACACATTCTTCTTACTCATTCAAATTTTAAAAAATGCTGATAGTATTTATAATCTAAAAAAAAATTTGGGAAACAAAATTAATTCAATCTGCCAATTTACAGCTTAATTAGAATTTAGATACTATAACAATTAACAATTAATATTATATTTTCACATTATTGTAAAGTAGGCTATGAAAAAATCATACATTTTTTCAATGTAATAATTTTTATGAAGTTATTTTAATTTTAATTATATTTTTATCGTAGAAATGTAGAAATCTTATTTCAAATATTAAGTAACAATTTTTTTTTATGAAAATAAGTTCATTTTTAAAGTTCAGTAAAATATATAATTTTAATAGATAATTTTTTAAAATTTTTTTTTCTTATTAATTTTTGTATTTTCATTCTAAAGTTTTGATATTCATCAACTTCAAATATTATTATTAAAATTTGAATAGTACAATTAGTAAGTACATACTTTTCAAAAAAATTATTAATTGATTTGTAAATTGAAATGTTGTTATTTTAATAAGTTAATCATTTTTAAATTTATTTTAAAAGAAAATGATGATACTTCATCAACACCTGTGAAAGAAATACAATTGGCCACAAATGATGTAGTGAAATGTACAGTGGAGAAATATAGTACAGACAATGAATTGAACTCCAAGAAATTGTGCCTGAAAATATTGAAGTTAATTTGGCGAGCGATAAATTGCGTTTTGTTTTTTAAAATAGTACTTGTAATATAGTATGTATAGGTATTATTTGGAGAGCTAAAATAAAAAATGTTTAGCTTCCTAACTGAGACAGGAAACTATGTGTTTTTATTATTTCCAGGGTTTTTTGTTATCAGGGAGTTGTAAGCCTACCAGTGGCGTATATACGAATTATTTTCACTATGGACCGATTTATCAATTATCACTAGTCAAGCAGCATAGCCATAATTATACATTTTTAAGGGAGCAGCTGTTATATAATTAAGAATTATGACATATTATACAGTTCAAATAAAAATTGCGCAATTCAATTTTATAATTATTATGTAAAATTAATTTTTTGTTTCTTTTTTTAAAAATATTGACAGTGTCGTTTGTATATTTTAATGTTATCTTACTATGAATTTAACATCAAAGTCAATAAGTCATTAAAGCAAGTCCCGTCAATATATCTAACATTTCCTTGTAGATTACTCAAAAATGATTTTAATCAACCGGCTAACTTAATCATGGTGAAAAACTGTTAACAGTGTAAATATACATGCAATGCTTTAATTGAGCCTGCAATTTCACTATGGGCTCTGGCCTAGGGGGCCTCCCCCCTATATACGCCACTGAAGCCTACCCATAATCGCGCTTTTGGTGCTATGCAATTTTGTAAGACAAAAGTTTGAAATAGGGGGCCCCAAAATTTGACTTGCGCCTGGGCCCTTTCATCACTAGTTGCGGCACTGATGATATTGCAATACTAGGAACCTACCATATAGGAAGAAACACTTTTCATATATACACAAGTCGCCACTGTTTATAACTTCTATTATAAGTCTTATAATTAACAAAATTATTTTTCTCAGTAACAATCAGAAAACTAAATAAATATTTATAAGTGTGTAACAATCAAATCTTTACAATTTTACAGTTATAAATTACAAATATTCAATAACATTGAAATGTACACAGAAATACAGAATTGTATAAGTACTACTATTGTTCTTTTTATAGTACCTACTGAAACTGAAGCAAAATACCTTAATACCTTTTTTATGGACTGTTTAACTGAAGTCTATGGAAACTAGAAATGATATATGAATAATAAAATATAGTTAATATTAAATACTATAATACAAACTATTATGCATATTTCATTTTTTATGTCTTGGTAGGCTCCGATCATATTATCACAGATTAAATACAAATTTTATTTAATCCGCGATGTTATCAAAGGTACTCGTAGACCTTATAACATAGACATATAAAATATATAAAATAAATAAATAAATACTACAGTGGTACGTAGGTTCAGCCAGTTAAATCTATTCCATGATCCGGTCGTCATAACATTATCCAATATCCATAAATTCACACGGCTATGATGGGCAAACCACAGATACCTATTAAAAGTTTTTAATCTACACTTACGGGACAATCCGACAAAGCATTTCGGTGGTTCTATCTGGTTAACACTGTAATATTTACAACCGTTTACATGGAAGATGTAAACACAGTGGTGCTGTGGTGACCATGTAAACAATAAATGTCAGCAACTGGTAATATCAACTATCATTTCAAATCACAGTTGTTGTACTGATAGTTATAATAATATTATAGTCCATGCACCACTGGAGTGTTGTACTGATGATAGTTGTAATAATATTATAGTCCATGCAGTGGAGTGTCGATAGTGGATATTTTGCATGAACATCGTGTTTTTTGAAAAGCGGCTGCATTACGCACTCCCTCAATCTTTTCTTTGTGTTGTAACGTTTAAACGTGTTTACTTGTAAAGTATAATACTGAAAGAAATTAATTCGGTCCCGCGTGTTGGAAATATATGCGAAATGGAAAAAAACGACAAAGCATCGGTATATTTATGATTCATTAATATAGTTTTTTAAACATGAAATTAATAAATTGTTTATATTATATTAAAACATGTATAGATTTCACCATACAACAATTCCGATTCGTCTGACGACGATGATGAACAACCTGAAAACTTATCAACTGAAGAGATATGTCTTAAAATAAAGACATTTCGTAATTTATGCCTTGGAAACGTAAGTCTTACAATTATAAATGTATTATAAAACCTAAACATTAGCCTTTAACCCATATCAATTATGAGTGATAAACTTCCATTACAAAATTAAATTATAAGCAAACACTCTTTCGTGGTACTTTGATAATTGCTTAAAACTACCGAATTATATAACAATAAACCTGTATTCTGTAGAACTAACAATAATGTACAAAAACGATCCCCCAATGAATAAGATGAAATGAAAATACACAATGTGGAAATCAGCAAAAATATAGTAAACTATACTCCGCATCGCGATAAAAGTAACCCATATCCCGACCAAATTGTGTTTGAATTCAAGCATTCCCCACGTATTTAAAAGACAAAGTGAGGGAAACGGAGCCTAGTAACGCTCACTGCCGTCAGTGCGCGAAACACGTACCTTTTCTCGTGACACGGAGTATAGGAACAAAAATAGTCTATGGAAACTTAAAATTATATTATATTTAATGTTAGAGCAATAGAATGAATTTAAAGCCTATAATATTCAGAAATATATATTTTCATTTCCAACATATGTACAGAAGAAAACATTTTTTATTCAAGTACCTATGGCTATTAAAAATCCATTTACTAAATGTAATTGGTTACTTATAGTTATTTGGACCGTAAGTAATAACGTACTTTTGTAAAGAATAAAGATACATAATGAGTTTATGTCGTTCACAATGTACAATAATATTTTCTTTAATCTATACACATTTTAAACATTTATAGAAAATATTAAAGTAGCTTGTGTCACGCCTTTGAAAAATGTGCTTGTACAGAAATTGTGAATACAGTAGAGTCTCGCTAATCCGAACAATCTATATTTCGTACTTTAGTACTCACGTATATTGTATGTATTTGGGAATATCAATGATTAAGATCATTAATTATCGTAATAATAACAATAATAATTTATAACGTAAAATTATGAATCAATACATTTTGAATTTGTATAAATACATAAGGTGTTTTTTGTATATTTATTAGTAAGTTTAAAAAAAACGTCATTCCGTTTAATCCGGATAGAGTCCGGTCCCATTTAGTCCGGATTAACGAGACTCTACTGTAATTCTAAACACAACAAGCAGTTACGTAAATACACATTTTTTGAGTTGTTTAAAGGCTCATAACTAATAAATTTAACAAAATTCAATCTATGATTTAGTACACTAAAAATATTACAGTTAGCTATACTGCTTATTGAGTTAAAAGGACAAAATGCCTGTATAATAATTATATTATAGTCTTCCTTTTTAACAATATGCAACAAAATATTTGTGTTCAACAGAATCCATGTTGTGTTATAATTTTTAATAAGTATAAGAGTAAAAAAAATAGAATAAAAATGCCACTTTAAGAATTTTATTATCTGTTTTCTGTCATTGATTTTTTTCATATTTTCAATTTTAATGTGAGTTGAGGATTTTTTAATTCAAATATTTTACATACTTATAAATTGCTTTACAATTAAAAATATTAAAAATAATGTGAGAACACTTAAAATATTCTTACCTTTAATTACATGTGAGACTAATTGGTAAATTTACTGTAACATACAAATTTTCAATACAAAATCGATTCTACTGATTAGCCATGTTGTATGTTTGTGAAATGGTGAAAACACATGTAGGCATCACGTCTACTAATATCTTTTGAATACAATAGATTAAACATTAATTTTTTTTAAATTTATTTTTTAGAAAATAAATGTTGGTAACGCATTTGACATTAATATGATTGGATATTTTTATTCATGGCTGGAGAAAAAAAAAAGCTTAATCTTTGATGATGATAAAGATAGTACCTCGGTAAAAAGTTTATAAATTGTGGAAATTTAGGCCTTAAATGTATTAACATACTGCAATTTTATTTTTATATTAGTTTCAAGAGATAAGTGACTATCTTGAAGCCACGGCTAAAGTCTATTCTTACCGTGTTGACAATTTGACAGAAACAACTAGTAAATTAGTTGAACAATTTAAATCCATGAACTACGCAAAAAGTACAACACCAATAGATGATGAAGATGATGCACCTAAAATCCAAAAATCCAAGGTATCCCTAAAAGTTTGATAAAAATAATTTTTTTCTTTAAATAAATAATTTATATGGATTGTAGAGACAAAAAATGATGCTGACTACAAATGAAAAATTAAGAGCTGGACCAGACGACATTAAAAATACTTTCAATTCAGATCTAATGGATCATGCTGGCTTAAATTTTAATGAATTATTTTTTGTTCATCGTCCATCTCGCCTTCTTACATCAATGTACCATGATACAACTTTGGCAGAAGAAATGCAAGCTTTTAAAGATGAACAAAAAAAATTTGATGAAAAAGAAAAGGAAACAATTTCTGTTGATATAAGTTTTTTGGATGATATGGGTATGAATTATTTCAATTAATTAAGAGATACATAAAAAAAATTTTACTGCTAAGTTAGGTTAGAAAATAATTTAACACATATTAATAGAGTTGTTATTTTAGAAAAATTTGCTCAAGGAGTTATCTGCCCCGAATTCAATGGTTTTGTAGCTGAACGTGACAAAGTTGACAATCATAAAGAAGACAATTTAGATGGTATTGAGTATCGCTTTGATCCTGATATTCACCAATTTCTAAATGATTCTGAAGACTCTATATGTGGTGAACCAGATAATACTGAACTTGGTATGTATATAATAATTACTTAATGGCACATAGATACCTAACAACAAGTCTATTACAAAAATATATTTAAATATACATGTTTTTTTATTTATACACAAATTAAACTTACTATTTGTAGTATTCATTATTTTTGAATATCCATGGATTTAAAAAAAAAAAATGTTTTACTTTCAAAATAATTATTTATTTAAATTTATATTTAAGATTCCAATTCAAATGATAAAGATACATCAGTATTTGATGGACTTGTAGAATGTATTGACGGCGTTAACAGCGATTATAGCTTATTTAATCCTAAGCTTCTTGCTAAATGGAATGGACCAAAGGCCTGGAAAGCTCAAGCAATGATGAAAGCATTAAAATCTTGCACTCCAAGTATATGAAAAAAATTAATTTGTTTAAAATAAAATAGAATTTCCTTAAATTGTATACAATATCTATAATGAAATAATTATTTAATATGTATTCTAATTTATAGGTGAACGAAAAGACATTGTTTCAAATGAAGATGAAAATATTGATGAATGTACACAGGAAAGTGACGATCATATCCAAACTAATAAAAAACGCATTCAAGTTAAGAACAACGATACAGTACAAATAAATTGGTTAGATAGAAACCAAATAAATGAATTAATAAAAAATAACATTAGAGGTAAAGAACAAATTTTACCTCGTACACTACAAAAATGGCAGCCAGTTGACCATTTATCTGATGTACGAACAGTTGTTGTTGATATTAAATATGAGTATGTAAACAATTATTATAATCATTATTTTCTTTTAACTACATAACCATAACTAATATAGTGTCAAATTATATCGTTAAGAATATATAATATATAATAATATATAATATAATATAATATATAATATAATATAATATAATATATAATACACTTAAAAGGTCTAATCAACTCATTTGTGTATGATTCTACATATTCTTTGAATGTTTGTCTTATTTTATATGCCTATGTTAAATAAGACAAATATGTGTTTCATATATATTTGTGAATTTGTATTCTGCTGATAAAAATATAATTGTATGCAACAATATTTGTTTATCAGCCCTCACACAATTAATATTTATTGTTTAAATTAAAGGTTTAATTTTTTGAAATATACTGAAATTAAACCAGAATGGTGGGAAAGAAGAAAAAATTACAGTGCTTCTAAGGAACTAAAATCTCGTCAGGTACAAATTAAAATTTTGTATTTTTAATACATTTATAGATCATTTCTATACATTTGTCAAAAATATGTGTGAATATTATATTTCTAGAATATCAATGCTTGTGGTGAAAGCGTTATAAAAGCATTAGAAGCTACAGAAATTGATAATGAAGACCCAGAACAGTCAACAAGTAAAAATGATGAAGAATTAATTACAAACGATGGAACTGATGACAAATTGGAAGTATCTAAAGAGGTAATTTATGTAACATTTATGTTTCATCAAAATTAAAATTAAAATATCTTTTAAAACGTTATTTATATTATTTGTTATGTATTTTAATTTCATTGATTCTTTTAAAATATTTTATTATATGTATTATGAAATATAGAATTAATGTATATTTTTTTCTATTTTACATAAAAGTTTATATTTTGGAGACATATGTGGTATTAAGGATGACTAGAGGTCGGATTTTTAAGATTTTACATATTTGTTTCTAGTCTATGCAGTTAAATTTGAGTAAGAAATCTATACGGTTCATGAAACCCAGAAAAAAACGGGAAAAAATTTATTTTGCATAAAAAAACATATTTTAGGGGTTAGAGAATATTTGTGAAGATTTTTGTAATACTCGGCATATAATGAATATTGAATATATTTCATGTATATCAGCACTTTGATAAATACAATGTTCACTAAATGATTTATTACTGGGTTTTAATAAAAATTAATCTCCAAGTATTCCTTATGGATTGCGATAGCACATCGATTATTTCGTTAGCTGTCGCCTGTCACGACTATCCATCGAACAATATAATATTGTTATTAATTGTTATGGTAAAATTAATTTAATTAAATATATTTAAAACCAAATAAATAAAAAATGATTTAAACTGATTTTTTTTTATATTAAAAGAATATTAATAGAATATATTGCTAATTTTATGTGACATAAAAACATCATATTTTAAGGATTTTAAGAGAATATAAATCCGACCTCTAAGGATGACCAACAAAAATAGTACCTAACTAACTCAAATTAGTTTACTGTTTGTTTATTGACAATTCAACACTTAATACAATTAATGATTACTTAAATAACAACAACTCACAAGACTCAACGATTTACAAACTCACGCATCATTTTTTGACACACACGCTTCTTACACCTGATTTGACTCACCTTGGTCAAGAACAATCACACTCACACTAGGGTGACATCTAGTTCTGAAACAGTTGAATCCCCACTTATATTTCCAACCTGTAATCACAATTAATTAATTTTATCTTCATTTTTTTTACTAGTTGAACCCTGAAGATGAAGATGCTTTTGATGACCAATCTGAATCAAGAATGGATATAGCAGAATTAAAAAAAGAAATATCTGATATTATTGACGAAGAATGTGTTGTAAGAATTTTTATAATGGTTAATGGTGTTATTAGATATATTTATAATCTTGATTATTTTAAAGGAAACTGATCCCAATAGTGAATGGAGTTCAAAGTTATCATTTTTAAACTTGCTAACAAAATTACGAATTAACGAACGAGATGGACTTACAATACCCATTATATTTGTTGGTCTGCTTCATTTGGCAAATGAGCGTGGTCTGAAATTGTTCCAAGAATATTGTACCATTAACGATATGGAAGAAACTTTTATTGCCAAACCAATGAAAAATAATGAAAAATAATTTGTGATGAAGGCCATTTTATACGTATTATCTAATAATCTAACATTAATTATTTTCCTAAATTACTTTATAATACATTATCCTTTACTTTTTTACATTTTATTTTACATTTTACTTTCTTGAATTTCATAAAATTTAAAATTAAGAAATATTTTATACATAAGTAAACTATAAGTATAACAACATTGAAAATATAAAATCAATACATATAATTTAATATTATATAACTATTTCATATTCATTAAAATTTAAAAAGTTAGATATAAGAATGATTTATAAATTAATTTTAGTTCTACTATTGAATAATTTACTATTACATTTAATATAAATGTATTTACATATTATCTGATGATAAGTTCTAAATTATTAAATATGTATGCTCTGTGGATTTCCAAAATAAATGTTCAGTTAAACTTATTCTATATATAACTGTATTCTATTGTGTAGATAGTTAAATTATCCCAACAGAAACACTCAGCTGTACCCCGTGTAAAAATATTTTAATTCTATTAAAAGAAACCCTGCTCTAAAAGTTGTGATATAATTTTATAGCAAAGTCTTTGAACTATATTTATGATCAATGTTAAAATAATCTGCTAATAATTGAATTTAGCTTTACAACTTTAAATACTATTTGAATGATGGTAGACTAATATGTACTCATTATGCTAAGGTATTTTTACATTTTTAACGTAAGTCTCTAAGCTAAGTTAAATTATTAGCCGACTATTTTAACATTAATATTAATGGCATATTGGCATCTATAGTTAATCAGACCAAGCTATAAAATATTATCACAACTTTAAGAGATGTTTTTTTTTTTATGGAGTGTTTTTGTTGCATATCACTCATTCTATGTTGTTGTCCGGATGGATACACTTTGGTTGTTGTATTATTATTATATGTCTGTATACTTTTTAAGATTAATTAAGTGATAATGAATAACGTGGTGCAGTAGAATTCATTGATACTTTAGTTTTTGAAGAACATTGGTTTAACGATAATGTATTTTTTAATAAATAAGTTCATTTTTCTTATTTATTATATTTAACAATTTTTAAATATTATATTTTAAATTGAATTCATTTTTTCTACATTTTTGGATTACTATGTTAAGCAGCACTAGTCCAATAGTGCATTGTAATACAGGTGGAGGGGATATTATCTAATAACATTTTAAAAATACACCACAACAATTTTTAGTTAAATTGGCTACAATTCCTTTGATATTGTCCCAAATGATTTGAAAGGTGCAGCGTTCCCATCTATGTACATTTTTAAATTTTTTAATGAGATTACTGTATTTTAAAACTTAATTTAATAGTGAAGTAGCTACAAATACTCAATGCTTTCTCAATTATTTTTTTTTCATGAATTGTGTTGCTTATGTTACTAAAGTGTGCATTTTAAGGCACTCTTTTTTTATACTAAACGAGACGACCCTCAACGGATTATCGAATATTTCGATATATTTTTTTGCTTTGTCTTCCTACAATTTATTTCAGTACATTTTGTAGAAAAAGTCATTGATTTTCATAATCAATTTTTCATATTCATATAATATTATCATAATACCATTAAGAATTTCAATCATAAACCTAATAAAATAACTGTACCATTTACTTTCCTATAATCTAAATTACATACATTACTAATAATTATCATATACATATAAATTGTAATTAATATGACAAAATGTGCATGAACAATTACACATTTTGTACCTTTATACATTTTCAAATAAATAACAACAATTTGAAAGTGAACTATAAGTATGATAGGTTAATCATATATAAATAGAACCCAATTTTTATACAACATTCAGTATGCCTTCAGCAACTCAGTCTGTTTTCAGTAGCTAGTCTGTCTCTTACTGTGTACACCGTATATTTTCACATAAATAGCAAATATTAAAACACTATTGTGACTTACGTGTAAAAACTGTGTACTTATATTATTTCAACATCAAAATAATAAGTTCTCGTTTTGATTTCATTGTCATTCAATCATCAACTTAAACCAGATAAGAAATTATATTAATGTACATTCACTCATTATTAATAATAGAATTACCACCAACAACAGTTAATAAGACTCGTAGACTCGAGTGTACTAAAAGTAATATAACCCATATTATTTATTTTATAAATCTGCATTTACGACCCTGATTAATTGTAATAATATATAGCCTCTTATAAATAGTATATGTAAGGTCAGAATTGTTGCTATTCTTAATCCCATCAATTACTTTCCATTAAAAGTCTTTTTTGATGATCTTAACCACAAAAATTTAGTTAATGTATTATTATAAGGTCATGTCTCATCAACAGTAAAATCTATGCTAGCAGCCAAATTTATTTAACATATACTGAAATTATGAAAACCAATTAAATACATAATAATTTACAATTAATTACATACAAATAAAATATAATAAAAATCAGATATTCTTATTTATTCAAATTAAAATAAATGTCTAAAGACAATACTGATAATGAACACAAAATAAATAAGCAAAACAACACAATTTGTATCATATTAGCATCTGAAGTCAATAAATTAATCAAACCACAATTAACGGCTGAATTAACTAAAAGAGGACTACTGGTCTTGTCCCTGACTTCAAAACTAGATTACTCAAATATCTTAACGAAGAATCATTACCCATAGATTTCTCCGCATTTGAGGAACACAACTTTGCTCCAATTATGAACTCAGTAAAAAAAAAATAGAATGAAAAACAAAAAACCCTATTTTAACATAGGAAGATTTTGAGGACTTAAATCTGAAAATGTTGCTTCATTCTTAAAAAAAATTTAATTGGGCAGCCTCTATTAACATATGGTCCAATGATGACAAATCTAAATATATTTCTTCATGTTTAGAAGGTTCAGCACTAACTTTTTTCAAAAATTCCGCTGCTATAGCCAAAACATAATGGAAGGACTTAAAACAAAACTTGAGAACCAATAGCCCAAACTGATATGCTTTGAATCGTATTATAAAAACAAAAACAACTTGATGACAAGGAAACAACTTAATACATAAATTATGTAGAATCCCTATACAAACGTGTAGATCTACTTATGCCAGTATGCCACAACTAGAAATGGTTTGAAACATAATAAAAGGTCTTAAACCTACTGTTGCCAGATACATTGGTACCTATTTTAGAAAATAATTCTATTACAGACCAAAAAGCAAAAATAAGAAAATTTAATATGATAGAATTTATGATTACTGGTAAACAATCTCACACCTCATCGGATATAAGAACTTCAATATTTAAAGATAAATTTAACAATATAACCATTCAATTAGAAGAAAGTATAAAATTAATGAAAGACAACAATTAAAAAACCCAAGAAATATTCAAAAAATTAACTAATGAAAATAAAAAAAATAATAAGCTATTCAAACCTATAATGATAAAAAATAAATTGAACAGCAATGTCAACAACAGACTCCTAACCATTCCCATATGAATAATAAATGTTTAAATACTCAAAATCCATAAAAAAAAACCAAACCATCATAGCTTTCCATTGAGGTAGATAGAATATACTGGAGCCGCGGACTCGTCCACTTTCTTATGTTACGAAAAACGGGCCGTCTCAATTGCTGCTACCCCCAACACCGTATGGCAAGAAATTGAATTTCCATACAAATTACAATGAAAGACTGCACATTTTAACTTAACATAACTCTGGGATAAATGATCACATTGCGCTAATTTTGGTACCAACATTTTTGTTTTCATGTGGACTTCAAATTTATACCTAATAAAAATAAAAATAAAAATCTCTGAGCAAGCAACATGTTTATTAATAAAAGTACGCAAAAATATTTATACATTTTTAAATAATACTAATTTAGATAGTCTAATCCTTTAATTACTCTAATATAATTAATATGTATTGTGTAATATTTTCAATACCCAAAACAAAAATCGTGAATACTAAAATAATAAATATACTGTATTGGCCATTGGGTATACTCCGCGTAGGCAAAATAACATTTGTTGCCATACAGGAGTGAATAAAATATAAGTTAGGTATGCGATAAAATAGGACATGTAGCCAAAAACTGTTGGACATATTTTCTGAAGTCAAAAAACTAACAAATTATTTAAATAATGAAAAAGACAAACATTATTCCCCTTAAATGTCAAAAACAAATACAACCATTACACATACAATAAACTATACAGTACTCATGGTGTAATTAGGTAACACCCAAACAGTCTGGCACACGTCTGGCCACTGAAACTACATCCATAATCCATCTATTAGTGTAAGGTCTATAAGTCTACCAGAATATGGTTATATTATTAACATTTAATCTCTTAGCTGTCTCATCTGTATCTCAAGTAATTATTAACTATAGATATAAACTTAAAATCTGAATAGTACAGAAATTAAATCGATATAGAATTTTAAACCAAGCGTTGCACAGTTAAAAGTATTAAAGGAATATGAGGCATTAGTTTCAATCATTAAAAATTACCATTGCTATTATACTTAGAGTTAATGGTGATACAACAAAAAATGACATGACCATTAAATGATGAAACATGTATGCTATCTTTACTCGGAAGAATAGAGGTATATAATATTTATACTTTATAGTATTATTATTTATAGTGATAATATTTATTAAATCTTAGATACCTAGGTATTATATTAAACTGAATGTAACATAATAATTGTGTAGGTACATCAAATATTCAAATTCAATATTTTAAAGACATTTTAAATCAAATAAATATATTAAATATTCCTAAAAATGGTATTATGATGATGTGTACACAACTAACAAAAAAAAAAATGATCAGTTTTCATAAATTGAGCCCATACAGAGATGATTTTACTAGAAGCATAGAAAAACAATTAATATATTGACTGAAGGTGAGTGTTTAAATTTTTATAAATAATATGCAATGTAATTTTTATAATTTATGAATTAATTTTATTTGTAAAATTAAAATTATTACTCTTCGTATATAACAAGAAAATCCATATATCTGACATAGGACATTTGTATAAAGTAAATACTGTTAATATAATTGTACGTTTACTAAGTATAGTTAAACAATTAGGTGAAACTCTAGTATGTCCAAGTGTTTTACCTTCAAACCAATCTGATGATGTTAACTCTTTACTTTGTTTTCAGTTGGTTGAATCCAATGGAATTTGGAGACATACTAACAAACAGTAATAGGTATTTACTTATTTTTTTTTTTTTATTCTTCAAGAAGATAATGTGCCCCGCTGAACATGCTCATGTAGGTAAGATAGGTTATTAATTTTAAATTTAAATAATATTATTTTCTATTAACTATCACTGTTTATAATTTTAAAGTTTCAATAATATTTGTATATGTAGTAAACGTTTGTTACATAGTACAAATAGAAGGTTATGCTAAAGCAGCAAAAAAATTAAATAAATCTCTCAATCTAGACTTGATGAGCTTTTAGATCTTGACAATTTAAATGGCAACTATTAATTTGATCTGATGTATCATTCTGATCATTAAATAGTGCTACAAACTTAAGCTGTTGCCCATATCGAGATGTACAAAGGCCACACATGGATGTATTATTGGTGGAGCTAAAATACCAAGTACCAACTAATTTAGTAGTTGCTTTTGGTGAGATCCACTTCATAATTTTTTTTAATTGTATTTTATTCACATTTGTTATGTTATGTTTATTTATTTTGTGAATCAGTTATAAACTTTATTACACAAAGTATGTGATTTAAATAAATGTTTATTATCAATTTTATTTTGTAAAACGATAACAATTCAGAAAATATATCTTAAAGTATTGATTGCCTGAGTTCAGGAGCTTAGTTCTATTCCCCAACTAACTAATAAATCTAGATAATCTTAAAAAAAAAAGTACATATGAATTAACTTAAAATAAATTTGAAATAAACAAAATATGTATAATCCATAGATAATATTATGACCTATAATTTATTACAATTTGAGATTTAAATACTGAAATTGGTATTTACATGTTTATACAATTTCAAATAAATCACATGATAGATGCCCTAGAAGTTAACTTATCATAACAGCTCCATTTATACGCTTTGTCTTCCAACGCTTTCTGTGAATTTTGTTACAATAGCCATTTTTTTTTATAACCACTTGATCCATCTACATCATCCCATGCAAATCCTGGTCGAATTTCAAACCTATTTGGTGGACAAAATCCTCGAAACCCTCTTACTTCTACTGAAAAAAAACCAATATTTTAGATTTTTATTAAACTATTAAGTTAATATTGTTATTAATAGTGGGCTGAGAGCATCAACATAGCCACACAGGTATTTTAAATCATACCAAAAGAAGAAAATGAAGTCAGAACAAAATATTTCATGAATAATATTTTTTATGAAAATGTACATAAAATAGCATGAAGTATATTATATCGGACATTATATTTCATGGTCTCTTTAATAAAGACTAAAAATTAGGAATTTACAGTTACACACCATCAGGAGAATTTTCACCCGTTTCTTGGTTATTTGTGATGTACTCAAGCATGGGATTTCCATCTCTGATCTTAGATTTCAACAAATTCTCTAGGTTTTGGTCATCTGCATATTTTGCTAATGGTTTTCACATTTCATGTAGATCAGACTGATATTATACTTGAGCTTCCTTAACTTGTTTTACCCTAAAATTATTAAATATAAAATATAAATAAAATATGACTTATATAGTCTGTATAATTTAGGTTACCAAAAATTAATTCCCGACTATCTCCAATCAACATATTTCATGAATCTATTAATATTGTAACTGTGTGTTTAAATTATGGTCAATGTGGAGGCCGGAGAGGCAAAGGTGAATCAGATATTATTCATAATTCCCAACTTCAGTGATCTAAGTGAAAAATTAAACTTAATCATGATTCTCGGGCATTGTACAGTGATCAAATGTACAACCAAAAACCATACAAAAAAATTTAAATCAATGTTTTACTTTTAATATTTTATTTAGTTTTTTTTTAAATTTTAATTTTGAGATAAAAATGGTCTAATTATCTAAGTTTAAAATAATGCGAGCCTGGGTTTTCTAAAATTATATGGTTACTGGAAAATATGCCCTAAATAATATTCTTGCTATTAGATTTTATAAGAGAATGTCATTATAATTTTAGAAATAATTACAGAGTAAAATGTAAGAATACAATTTGCCATGTGTACATAGACGGTACAATGTTGTAAGACGGAGACAACAAATTCCCGTGTGGCATCCTCTTAACGTGCAGCTCAGTCACTTAGGTCTCACTACGTCAAATTGAGGATAATATGCAAGCAGTATATCAGGTTGGCTTGCGGTGAATTGTAGACACGATGATCAATTACAGCAAGTGCAACTTAGCCACCGAAGTAAGCAATCAATGCCAACTATTCTCATTAAATATTCCCTACAATTATGAATAGCCAATAGATAACCTACAATAATAATTACCAAAAATAAAATCTTTATATATTACCCAGTCAATAATCACCGAATTAACTACTCTTATTCAAATATTTCAATGATTTTCTTGTGTGCTAAATAATACGTATGCCATGGAATAAAATAAGCGATTTCCATCAATTGAAAAATTCGTTATTTTACTGGAAAAATGGTTTCAACTTATTTCAAATATTGTTAATTAATTTAAAAAAAAAAATCAACGATGATAAATTATATTAAAGATTATTATAAATGTCTATATTTTGGACAATAAGTAAACAAATAAATATACACCTATATACATTTAATTTTAACTCGTGACAATTCAGTTTTTAAAAGTTTGAACCACATGTCTTGCACTGTAAATTACAAGTAAAGTTAATTAAATAAACTATATTTTAATTATCTTTTCTAGAAATACACAAATCGCTTCCTAAGGTCATGTGCTTCAGTGTTATCATGTTGTATATGTATAAGCACAAAATATTTTTTTTATATTTAACCTGTTAAATGACAACTGTTTTTGTAAAATTATAAAAATGCAAGTGAACTGTTTATAATTTTTTTGTTATGTTAAGGTAACATAGATACTTTTCTATCTGAAGTAATAAGGCAATGGTAAAGTAATTTCAATACAATTTAAAAAATGTATAAGGTAACAGACCCGACATTGGTTTTTACTATTATATATTTTATTGTATTTTTCAATACCTAGTTGGTATAAAAAAACATTTATAATTTATACATTATAAAACGTTTTATACTTTGGTTTTCCTATCTGTGATTTGTAACTATACACAATTATTTTATAATATACAGATAAGACATCCTATATTAATATTGAAAGAGGCTAATTGCATTCAACAGGTTCGGTGTACCTGTTTGCATTGAGGTATAAGATTGACACTACACATATTTTAAATGTGTGTGTATGATTATAACACTAAGAAAAACTTAACTCAATGAAAATTGTTATAGATTATTATTTATTATTTTTGGAAATAATGTTATAAAAATGTAAGAATACACAGAGAGAGAGTGGGCCACCCTATTAACGTTTATTTTGTAGTTTATGGTATTTTAAGAGTATAAATCTAAAGGCACATCGAATAAATCAACCTTTTCTAAGCATTAATTCTGGGCTAACAGTTAAAAGATTTATAGTTTTATAAAATATTTTTTAATGAAAATACATATTTTTAAAGTATTATGTACTTTGCTAAGCGAATTAAGTCCAAGCCCTGGTTGGAATAATAATCATTGGTAACAATAATTTACAAATTAATCAGTATTACCCTTTTCCCTATATAGCATATTTTGCTTTATGTTCTTTTAATATTTTTTCTTTCTTCTTCTCTTCTTCTCTTTCCCTTTTGAGATCACATTTTTGGCCAGTTTTTTGGTCACGTCTAATAGGTATATCATTTTCCTCTGACTCTTAATTTTCCTAAAGATTATTTTACTTGTGATTACTTAGTGATAGATGATTAAACTTATGATTTATATACCTCTTTTAAAGAAGATTTATTTACTTGTTGAACATTATTGTTGACTTGATCAATGTCAATTTTAGTTGAGTCTTCTTCAATGTCACAGTCACCACCTATTCGTTTCCACCATTTTTTATTTTTGTACATATTCAATATTTTAATATCTTTAGGCCTCTCATTAAAAATGACTACTATTTGAGGTGCAAATTCATCAACTGGATCAAATCCAATATTATTTTCACAATCATTTTCAATGCAATCAATATTGTCATCAATAATTTGAACTCTACAACGGTAGTGACACAATTAATTATTTTAGTCAGTATTATTAAGCGGTAACACATTTTAAATAGATAAGTCTTGTGTTAAATTTCACTATAAGTTGTTTTACTTTAAGTTAAAAATTTTTAATTAAATCTAACATAGAATGAATATTTGATGATTTTAATTATTATTTCATATGCATATTTAGCTTTGTTTTTTAGCATTATAAAAAACATAATTAAGCCTTTTTAAGTTTATAAACATTCAATTCCTAATTATAAATGATTGAAATCTAAATCATATTAAAATAAATACCTTTTTGGAATTTTTCTTTTTTCTATTTTCTTCTTTCCACTAGAAAGATATCTTTTAAGATAATCCTTTTGGGATATCTCCTTTTTTTGAGTCTCTGAAAATGTTTTCAATATTAAATAGGTAATTTAAAACAAACAAATTATGCTGGTTGATAATATACATATAAAAAAAACAATGGTATGACCTATGAGTTCTTTGGTCAGGACCTCGCCACTATTGAGCCATATTTTAAAATATATGTATCAAGATATGATTTTAATGAAAACTGTATTAATAATAGGTGCCTACCTAGATATAAAACCAAATTATATTATTTATTATTTACAGACCTCATAAATTAAACACATTAAATGGAAATATATTACCTATACATTTATGATTTATTACCTAGGTACAATCAGTTTTAAATAATCATATACTATACAAAATATACTTGAAATTTACACTGTTCTAATATCAAAAAAAAAAAGAGACATATGAAGTCATATGTGTACAGCATTTATTATAGTTTATGTTATTGGATACAAATAGCGCCTATACTACCATATTTGAATGCCATGGCCTTTGATATTAAACTTATGGCTGCAGCATTGGTGTAAAATCTTTAAGGCAACACAACTGATAACATTGTTAACCGTAACATTGTTTCATCTCTTTACTTCCTGTATAAGTGCTAGTTTCCTTATCGCCTAGAAGCCTCTGGGTGGGTTAGAACTAAGATTTCTCTCTCCGTTATATTGGCCAAAACGCATATGTTTAGCAAATATAGGAAATCTATATCCACAGGTTTAATACCAATGGCCATGTATTTACTTATGTCCACATAATATTTTGTAAACAATTCTCTCGGGGTTTTTGATTACCTATTTTGGTATTTGATTTTCTTTAAATTATTCGAGATATTAGTTTGTTATACCTATATGCCATATACTTTCAAAATACCTAGTACAAACATATATTTTGAGAGTCGATAACAAAATTGTTATTTTAATCAATTTTAACCAGATATCAAATATTTTACAATACTCTACAATATATAATTTGGTCTTTACAGAATAGTTAAATAGCTTACACGACTTTTTTAATATATTTAGTAGGTACCTATTAGTACAACTTAATTTTTAAATTATATGATGTATGCTCATGTTTCATACACACACCAGATAAATAATAAAATAAAATACAATTGGAATGGTAAAGCTAAGCAATTAACTTAATTCTATATAAGAAATCTTCTTAATAATATTAAATTATTAAGTCTTAACACATATATATTAATATATCCATAACAAAAAATAATTTTGAATAACTAAAAAAACAAATGCATTAAATATTGAACGCACCTTTTAATGACATGTTTTCTTCAGTACCTAATCTAGGTACTTAATTGTATTTAATTCCAACAAACTAGAAACCTAATGTACTCCATTGTATAACATATAAATAATACTATATTATACAGTCCGTACAAACAATTATCAATTATCAATTCATTAGTTTAGTGCATGATAAGGTAGGTACTAAAAAAAACAAAAGGTAGGTAACAAGAATCGAGATTCTTCTGATTTAATTTTATCATCTATCTACAAATTACAATAATCAGTAAGTCTGAAAAAGAAGTTTTGGCAATTTAATGTTCAAACGTTATGATCCGTATCCATACATTGAAAATGCCGGAAAAAGCCGTTCTTGATACTCATCCGTTATCTTTGTTATCAATTTACGGTTGTAAGGAACATGAAGACAAAAGAGCGAAGGACTGAAGACTAGTTGTAGCAGTTGTAGGTCCAAGCAACAGTGTGAACTGAATATTGAATAATAGTAATAATATTAATATAACAGAATATTATACTGTGTCCAAACATTATTGAAGTGAAACTTCTTTAAGCTCTGGTCTCGCGATGTAGTAGTAACTATTCGTTCGTACGGTGGCAGCACAATTTAAGATAGTATAGACAAGTTTATGGGTATATGTTAGACTGTAAAACTTGGCTAGGATTTATAATATGCAGTTGCATGTTTTTTTCTTTAGGTCCAAATTGATTGGTTGTGAGATATGTTCACAATTTGGATTCTTACAACTTTTTTTGGCATATTTTCACATTCTTTGAACATAAAGCTGAACATAATTGCATAGTTTGATTATTGAAGATCATTAAAATTTTTTAAATGGTATTTATTTAATGAACGTCCATATTAAGTTATTTGTTGAATTGTAAATTTACTACCTTATCTTGTTTTAATCTAACAATCAAAAGGATTTTCTCTACATTATTTTTGTTTTTCATTAGTACAAGTTTTAGTCAATATAAATCCGTTCTTTGATCACCGGTCATTTGTGTTTCAACATTTGAAAGAACATATCATTACAGCAATATTCAATGTAATAATAACTTCTTACAATAAATAATAATTATTATTAGTAGTTTCTGATTTTTATGTAAAAAATACTAAATGTTACGTACATATAAAAAATTGTTTTTGCATATTTTGGTAAATAAAATGCATATTTTACAATTTTTCATTCAAATCCTAGCTCTAGATAGCACAATTTTGCACATGGGCCAAATAATGATATATTTGTACAAACCATTAACATATTATAATAGGTCAATGATACACACTACAGATGAATATATTCTCTATCTGTAGTTGTGCTACATACTTTATCAGACCAGAAATAATTGATCAAATTATTTGCCATTATTTTTGAATATGAATTGAATGAAGTTTTCATTTAATTTTTTATTTTACTTTACTTTCTTTGGATTAACATGTACATTACATTTTGACGACCTCTCTGAAAAATTGATGTGTTCTAGTGATCCCCCTCAAAAAAAAAAAAGAAATTGGCAATCCAATTGGTTACCACGTCCTTGCACAACACTCAACGTTGCTGCGAATCCAACTTCAAGCTCATCTCCCCTACTCAGGTATGCTGCGGTTGTAGTTTTAGTTTCTACAGGAATTTTGAATTTAACCAAAAAATTAGTTAGAAATAATCAAAATTTAAAAACAATTTGATGCGTAATAAGTATGTATTTATGTACAGACAATCTTAGTCCAATACGGTCTATTTAATATATATTGCACATAACATTTTATTTTATTTAAATCCTCAAACTGAAATTTTTCTCTTGGAAAAACTGTATAATATATATATAATATTCAATACACATTTCCAATGTTATCCTCCTATGACAATGTAACATCACGTCATCACTTGTGGTCATAATTAATACTTACTCTGCAGTTAACAATTATTAAGCTGCATATAACAAATCATTAAAAGTTTATAATTTTCTCATGCCGTTAGTTTTTAAAAGTGGTAATTTGTTTATTCAAATATAAAGAATTGTTTCTATATTTATTTGTATAGTTGATTATTAAAGAGTTATCTCATCATAGTACATTTAATTGACTTAAAAATGTATAAAATTATAAATATCATACTAAATAGCAGTAACATCTTTATTTAAATTCTTAGTTAAATTATATACATGTTGAGTTTATTTAGCAGTTAATCAAAGTCGGTAGCTAAGAAATATGCAAATGTAATATCTTTACTGTCGAAACAATATTATATATTAATATGTTGTACTGTGACCTTTTAGATATTTTAAAATTTATAGCAGGGAATATTTAGTGGGCTTAAGGTAGAATTAAAACCATATCTAAATTCACTTATATAAATAAATAAAAAATATCTAGAGCTCAATTAAATTTTATTGTAAGGTTAAGTTTTAAGATAAACTAATACATTTTTTGATTTGTTGAATCAGTTAATTTTAATTATGGTTTTGAAATACTAAATGCAAAATAAATTTAAAAATGTCCTATAGCAGTTACAGCTAGTTAAATTAAATTCAAAAATGTAGATAATACACAAAAAAAAAATAAGTACATCAACAATGTTATATAAGTACATAAACAATATTTTGTGAGTGCAAAAATAAATAATAATAGTAACTCTTTAACAGTCAAGATTAATTTTTCTTTGAATTTTCATCAGTTACACCTGAAAACATAAGTTAATAATAAATAAGATAACTGTATTAATATTATATTAATTCATGAGATAAGGTTAAAAATATTTACTTTTTCCATCACATGCAACAATTTTCAATTTTTCAACTTTAGCTATTTCTTGAGTTTCTTTGAACTCTACGTCACTTAACATAAATGTCCACACATTATCACAAAATCTATAAGTGTCCATTTTTCCAGCCTAGAATAGCAAATAAAACAAATGTTAATAAAAATATGCAAACATATTCAAACAAGATTTTTTAAACAATATATTAGAAATTGAAAAATGTGCCATTCTATTCAAAAACGCAAACAAAAAATTCGAAAAGTTGGATGCAAAGTTTCAATACCTATAATAATTTGAAAAATTATATTTATTTTAGCCTTAAAACAAAAAATTAACATTAAAAAAATGACAACAAGCAATAGTTATAATTTATTGTTTTTTGATAAAAAAAAAACTTTAATCACTACTTACATAAACTGTTTTTATTTTATTACACCTATGCCTTAAAATTAATTATTTTAATTGTTTAATAAAATTGAATTGATCAATCATGGGCCACTAAATCATGTTTAAAAGATAATTTGCTCACAGTGTATACAATGAATGTTTAGTGATTATTCATGCAACCCGGCATTACAAAATAAAGACACTTGGTGCCATAATTTACCCAACTCCTGTATCACATATTTTGTATTGGTATTATTTGAATTAAAATTTTTTTATTACTGTAAAACAAGGTATTACCAAATGCCAATTAAATATGAGTTAAATTGTATAGAATGGTAAATGGACGTTATGTCCCTGTAACAAAAAAACAGTGCTTGGACATTTCATCCCCGCCAATTATTAAAATAGGACATAGTTTAAATGTATTATTTAAAAATTAAATACTGACATTTACCGACTTATAAAAGAACATACACTTTAAATTTAAAAAAAAATAGCAATTTCAATTAAGTGATTTAAAATATCTGGTGACCAAAAGTCCATGGATTGGTTTTTTTTTTACTGAGACCAATCGTCTGAGATTTGTATAGATAATTTAAGCAAAACGCCAAATTTATATTCATAACTCTAAATAATAATATGAATAGGACTAATAAGCGAATGCAAGATGCAATTTTATTTTAAGTGCTTTAATTATTTCTGTAGTTCTCTAACTACACAATTAAATGGATGTACTAAAGAATTGTAAAATGGTATCTAAAAATAATTAGAACAATTTTATCTATTGATTTTAATATATTGGTGAGATATTGTGTATCTATACTAAGGCCATTGAGAGAGAGCTACTGTTTGGGGCATCCAAATGTAAGAGCTCCGCAATTTTATACCCAATTTTCTGTCACTGTAGAACCTACAAATCACTTTAAATTCCCCCGCTAACAAACTAAATTTTAATTCATGTACTCATTTTAAAATGTAAATGAGTAATTTTGAAATGATTGAATACAAAAATATAAATAAGTACTTAGAATTATTCATAGCTCAAAGATAACTTATGCATTTGAATCATTTAAGAAAATCAAATTGAACTTGATATATTTTAATACGCGTATTATGAATATTTTGTAATACATAGAATTATGTCACCAAGTATACACACATTTTTTAATAGATACCATAAACTCTTGAACATTATATAAAAATAAATAATGGATTCCTGTGTGTTAATATACATAATTATTAACTATAATTGTTAATTCAATCTTTATCATAAGCAAGTCATGTAAACATCACACAGTAAGAATTTATTAAATTTTTATTGAAAACATTGATAATTAGGTATCCAATTTACGGATTTTAGGCAAAACCATTCAAATCTAATAGAGAATAAGTAAAAAATAAGTGAAATATAAATTCATCATATTGATGTCCATCTTCATAAATTGTTTGAATAATAGTAATCAATGTTTGTAATAGGTGTAATAAAATACATAATTCACCGTTTAACAAACCAATTTCTCGATATACCTACTGTAACACTTAAACTTATTAGTATATGTATATAATGTAAATTTCTAATTCTTAATCTAAAACAATTTACCTTAAATGTTATTTTAGACTTGACACGTGTGGCCAATGAATTGTTTACAGATTTATCGAACTGCAGCAGGATTTTCATGCCGAGAGCAGGTGTTATTTGACCATACTGAAACATCAAAATGCACGATTTAGATAATATATTATGTAAATTATTAAATTGGAACCGGTCCACATTATTGTACGTGAAGAATGCATTACCTGAATCATTTCGTCGATGCTCTCTTGAAGAGTATTCCCCAGAGTCGTGTTCCTGTACAGTTGATAAGACATGTTGGCACGAAAAGACGAACTCAAAATGTCTTGATGATCGGAGAAAAGCTTTGATGGGCGGCGGACTATGGTTCAGAGACGTGACATCGATATTTTGATTTTAAGATCGATCGAAGTTACCGACAAGTGACAACAATAACCTGAGTAGAGTCTACCAAGTACCAGACCGAAAATCTTAATTAATATTATCACAAAAAGGCGATTATTACTTGACATGTAATTTTCATACAACAACAGCAGACAGCATTGCAGGCTGCCGCAGCTGATGCTCTCAAACAATTATTACTGATAACTGTTATAGATAACGTTTAAACGGCATTTCGTTCATTTGGTCCACAACCACTATCATCAACTGTCAAGTTTCATGGCTACATTATAGTCGAATCGTGCCAAAGTATAAAAAATCCGGTACCGATCTTTATAATAAAACTATTTTAAATTAACTATTCCAAAAAAAAAAAACACTATGTCCATATGAGTGAGACCCGACAAACCAGTTAAACAATTTATTTAAATATAATGGTTTAATCAGTAGGTGTGTAATATGGAATCCAGGAAAAAAAAGCCCCAATATCAAAATACGGTAAAAAAAGCCCCGTTTAAATACATGATTTTTTTTTTTTGATTTGCATGATTACATATCATAATAATCATTATATAATAATTATATTTATTTTATTAATTATTAAATTATTTTATTATATTATTATGCATCTAATTTATTAAAGGAACTAGTTGGTACATTTATTTGATTAAAAGGTAGTTATTTAAAAAAAATTATATTCAGTTTCAGTATATGACATCAAACAATAACTAATTAAATCACAGTTAAAAATCATTCCATAAATAAAATTTCTTAACATACATTATCCTTATAAAATATACAAGTATAGTTGCAATCTGCAATAATTGTCTTTTGTCATTTGTACATAATTCAAAAATGTTTTAAGTTAAAAAATTTTAAAAATGATTTAGTAGCCTTGATTAGTTATAGATATATAGCTATTGGTAAATAATAAAATATTGTTTAAAAATTAAAAACGATGAATAAAATAAAAAAGTGTTATGTATTTAGGTCGTACCGAGCTTTTTTTCCTATAGACGGGGCTTTTACCGTATTTTGATATTTCTTATTATATATATTATTATCGTATTTTTCCAGGGCTTTTTTTTCGAATACCGTAATATGTTATGTATAGGTTAAGAAGGGGGGTGGCTAATAGGGCTAATTTTGTTAAGCCCTCTCGGAATTCCCAAAAAGTTCCTGTCAGCATCGTAGATACCAAGAGGAAAAAAAACTATAGCGTATATCAGTGTTTCCTAACCGGTGGTCCATGAGCAAGTCATAGGTAGTCCAGTGGTCCACGCCTCCACGGTACCATAGATTTTTTTTTTAGCGAAAAACATTACGACTTATTGAGGAACCGTATTATACTTGTTAATGAGCAAAAAATGAAGGTCTTCGTAGTTTTTGTAAAATTTAGGTGGTCCGCGACTTATAAAATATTGTCGAAGTGGTCCGTGGTAGTAAAAAGGTTGGGAAACACTGGCCTATATGAATTCCTCACTCTATAGTCTACACCTATATGATATAATATAGTATATATACAATATAGCATATTATGTATGTTCATATGTTTAATATTGCGTGCTAGCCGTGCTAACAAAAGTTTTGATATTGGTAACAAACCTACAAGATTAGTCATTAGTGGTTAATTTATTCAGGACTCTTTAATTGTTCATCCCATCACATTTTTCCTTTAAAATAATTTATATTGTGTACGGTGCCGGACTTTATACGTCTGACTTCGCTATTATAGCCTTGATACATATATAGTATATATCAGAGATGGCGAACCTAAGACACTAACTTGATCTTTAAGCAGGGGTTAAAGTGGGGAGACGCAAGAGGACTCAGATCCCCTACCTCTGAGGAGGCTTAAGAAGCGTCCCCTTTAACAAATTAAGATTTTATTCATCAGACATTATACATACAATTATAAATGGAACGCTTAAAACTATATGGAGATATTAGTCCCCTCTGAAATTTTTTCCCACTTTAAGCCCTATCTTTAAGATTCAGTGACACTAGCAACTGGTTACAAAAAAAACCTTTCATCGCAAAAAAAGATTACAAAATAAAATATCAAGTTTATGGTAGGTATACGATATACCTACACTCTACAGTTCTACACGCATTGAATTGAATAATTACCCTACTGAATCATAGGCCACAGGAACAGACTTTTTTGCAGAGGATGACTGTATTTTTAAATATACCTAGCTCTCGTTAGCAACTCGTTTCACAATGTGAATATGAATCCGAATTCGAAAAAATTTAACATGCATAACTCATTTTTTGATATTACACATTTTAATTTGAAAAGTTTGTACTGTGGTTCCATTCTAATAAAAAAAACAGTATGAAAACCCACAAAAATATTATGATAACAAAATAATGACAAAAAATGATGATCTAATTAATCAAAATTCTTTTTTTTATAGTAGTATGAAAATAAACAATAGCGCAGAAGCCACTAGGCTATAACGTTCTGTGTCAAAACACTCAAAACCCACAAGTTTCACGGAAGTGGTGGAATTTGACTCTAGCTATACCTTTTTTTACCCCCTTTTGAAACCGGGAACGGGTGGGAACTGTTTAGCAGAATACTGCCACCCTGACTCTATCATGAGTTGGCAATCTATTTCATTATTTATATGTAGATACCTGTCTGTAGCGATGAAATTATACTTATGAAATCTAATTAATAATTGATCTAGCCTCCACTTCCAATATTTTTTCATAAAAAAAATGAAAAAAATCTTTAATTTCTAATCATGAACTAATAATACTATCTTCGATCGTGATTCTAATCAAAACATTTACAACTAAAAACTATGATTATGATAACTTTGCGAGGGAGGAGATGGCATACCTTTTCACATCCATCGCAGTTGTCGGTGAGGTAATGACACAATAAATGTCACATGACTCACATGTGTGTGAACTTTCTTGTATATTATTTTAAATTAAATATCATTGTCGTGTTTCAAGCTCTTATAGATTTGTACCGTAAATACTTACAAAACTATGAAAACTAATTGAAGAATTATCAAAAAAATAAAAAGCTAAATATAGAGAGTTTTTGTCATTTCCATAGAAATAAAATGAAATATATTTATATACAACAATAATTTAAAGAAGTTACTAACCTAGATAAACCTAACTAAACCTTCGCTTTCAAATCCAAACTGAATTTTTTTAATTTTTCTTTCATTAACTTCATTTTTAACTTAACTGGTTTTTATTGATATAAACTTAATAAATAACATATAAATCCACAACAAGTACCAGTTACACTTGAACCTAAATAGTAAAAAAATAAATATAATAAAATTATTATTGATTATGCATAAATATTTACTAAAAGAGAAAATTAAAATTTTTTTTGTAATTAAATTAATTTAGATTCTTGTTCCATCAATCAGAATTTTATTGTTCAATACAAATAATTTAATTTAATGCATTATAACACTAATAATAACTATTTATTGATTCTCTAACAAGCAATATCTACAAAGTGAAATTATAATAAAACATTTGGATCACCTCCAAAGACAAAGGCTGTATAGTTTAGTAGTTTACATACCATTATACCATACCTCGGCATACGTGCATATTTTAATAATTATTAATAATATTTCAATAATGCATAATATTGCATATTTATAAAAATAAATACTAATTTATCATGTATGATAGGTTTAATCATATAGTTACAATTTACAAATGTATACGATTCTCAAGAACATATATTATAAAATATTTCCATCAAAACAGTATAAAATTACAATTACATAAATAAGTTATTAGTTTATTACTATTTTAGTTTTTAAATTAAAACTAACTGGATTATACTAGTATCAGTATTCAGTAGTATCTATAATTTTAAATGATTATACCTATTTATGAATCTTATTATTTCCAACCATATTACTGGCTATTTATATATTTTAAAAAAATTATAATAACTTAAGTTAATAATTTAAGTGTGAGTTCCCATATAACTTTTAATTTAATTGTGTTTTCTATCAAATCAACTTAACTTAATTAAAAATTATCATTAACTTTCCCATGCTAAGTAACACTACCCAACAACGTGACTTATTATCTTATATGCGAGTATCTATATTTATTTTATAATATATATATAAATATTATGAATCTTATTCTGATTTCTGAATTATTATTAATGGAAAATGGTTTGAAACTTGAAAGACTTAAAATAATTATATTGAAATATCTATACAAGTATACGTTTATAAAATATAATAAGTAATAATACGTATAATGTATATAAGTATACTGTATACTTTATACATTTTTAAACGACATTCAAATTAAATTTATTATCAGTGTTTTTATATGGTTCATATTATATTATTATAACTTATAATTATACCTATATAGGTAATATACAATATACATATTACGATATAAGTCATAGCTCGTAACAATAATACAATTGTAACTATCTGTAATATTTAATCATAATTGTTGGTGATAATAAATTAATAACATACTCAGTGTCTATTAATATCATGCATATTAGGATACATACTCACCATGGAAGTGCCTACATTTTTTTTTTTGAAACGCAATTAATGTGTATCTAATCGTGTACGGTAGGTAGATAATGCGGTCAAGTGTAGCTACCTCTTATCTATCAAACCAATAATTTTTATTAAAAAATGTAAAATAATGAAAAACTATAGATTCTAGTATATACCTACACAATTGGGAGGTCAGCTGACCCACAGTTTTTTTCTCAGTAAAATGTGGACCCTCAAAATGACAAACTACATAACATTTTTTTTATTTGAAAAAAATATATACAATAATCAATAATATTAAACAATATAATAATAATTTATAAAATTTACACACGTTCAAGAATGTTTCTATAAAAATGTAATTATAATAATGTTTAAGTATATTATGATGTCTAGCTGTACACAGACGTGAATACTGAGTATTAAAGAATAAATAGATCATACAAAATAGTACCTAAATCGAAAAACTAAGTGAAATTCGGAAAAGTGGACTGACTGCTCTTAAGTAAACATAATAAAGAATAAAAATCAGTTTTCAGCAAAGTTTTATCGCATTACTAGATGGATCAGTATGATAGACAAAAAATTGAAATGTTTTGACTAAAATAACTATCAGCCCCCG